GCAAATGGCATGGTTGAGAAACGTATCGGGAATTCAATAAAGCGATAAGCAAATACGTTTCATCCAAACAAGACGACTGGGATAACTTCATCCCAGCATTGTGCCTTGCATTTAATACTACGCTGAATTCTAGTACAGGCTTCACACCGGCCATGTTGATGTATGGTCGCGAAATACGCCTGCCTATTAACAATTTTATTCCCGAAGCTGATAGGAATTTCGAGATTCCTATTTACCAGTATAGCCAGCAAATCCAGGATGCGTTGGGTGACGCTATCCAGGTTGCAAGAACTGGCGAATTGATGCGTAAGAATCGAGATAAAGCGCGCTACGATTCGCAACGTAGCAATGAAACCTTCAAAAAGGGAGACATTGTCATGTTGCGAGAGAAAAAGAGACTTCCGGGGAAGCTCATGAAATTCTGTGACTTGTGGATTACCGGTTACGAAGTTCTGGAGAAACTAGATGGCGTAAATTATCTAGTTAAATCTCTCAGAGGAGGCAAGCCCAGGATAGATCGCGTACATGCTGAACGTATGCGGAAGTATAATCCTAGGCTGGCGCACAATTATGTGGCGCCGGAAGAGCCAAAAACCGATGAAACCGTTTATGATTTTTCTCATAAACATCGGAAAACAGGAGTCAAGGTCAGTGAATGTCAAGATCAGCCGGATGATCTTGATCAAGATGATCTTGAGGACGATGTCAAGGTTAAACCTGATACCAGGAATGAGACGAAAGTTGGCAAACAGTCATGCCCTGGATCGGTGATACCTGGTGAGCAGTCTGCACCGGTGCAGCAGACTCGTTCAGGCCGAAAGGTAGTGCCGCCGAAGCCATTCGTACAATAGAGTTGTACGAAATGCAGTACGAGTACAGATGCGGTGGACTATAAAACTGGATGCTAAGTGGCATTCCAGTTTCAAAAGTCTACATTTGCTTTTCGTAGCATTTCAAGTTTGTCGAATAACTTGAATTTTTGTATGTTGGCGTTATTTTGCGTGTAAAGTATGGTGGCTATTGTAATCACCATGTCGGATCGTTCCCTGTATAACATGTTGGAATTGGCGATCCATGGGCCGAACCGCCGTGGACGGTGGAACGCTCGCCACGCTCGGCAGCGACAGGATCTGGGATTCGATCGCAATCTCGGCAACAATGGTCACGGGAATGGAAATCGCGGTCAGTTTGCGAACCGCGGGGGCAATGGCGGTCAAGGAGGACGTGGTGGAAGTGCTCCACGTCGTAATCAGCCGTCAGCGGAGGCCCAGCCTAACGGACCAAACAATCAGTTGGTTGTTGCTGCGGGACCTATTCAAGGACCGGGAAACCTGAATGATGCTCCGGCAGTGGTGGATCAGGAAGCTCCAGTGGTTCCACCGGCTCCAGTGGACGCGTACGATCTGCTACCGCCGAAGGACCAGTGGGATACTTATACGTACCATCAGCGGTACATTGCCTTGTCACGGTGGTATCGCCAGCCGGAACTGGCCCCACCGAACTTGGGATGGCTGGAATGGGTGACGTTCCGCGATAATGTGTTGACCGCGCCGCCGGCGCAGGTCAATCAACAGCAGGAACAAGAGGAATTGGATGATGAGTACATGTTGGATCCGGTTTAAATCTACTTTATCGGTAAAGTAGATTACGCGCGGATTCTTGGCAGTGTTTAATTTTACGATATCCCGTTAAATCGTGAATTAATTTTTGGTTATTTGGTTCTAACCTGAAATTTTGGTTTAACAATTGGCGAATTATTGTGGAATTAATTCAAATTATGATTGCCCTTTGATGATTGTTGTTGGCATAATAATCATGCGCATCGGAAAAGCTAATCCATTGTCGCACTTGTTGTAAACTAACAAGGAAAAATGTTAGTTTAATTCTGTGCAATGTGTTCGGTTCTGTGCTCGCGGTTATTGGTTGAATTAACCAAGAAATGTTGATTAATAAAAGTTAACCGTCAATGAGGTGGCTTGCGTTGAAATTTGTGTAGAAATCAGTACATGCATAACCAAAAATCAAAAATACCGGAAATACTATGTGCAGTAGTGCTACACATACAGTACGGTATGAAAGAAGGAAATTCAAATGTCATTTACGAAAAGAAAAGAATTCGTGAAAATAAAGCAGTTGAAAAAACCATTATGAGTGCAGTAACTATTGTACATCAGAAAGATGTACAAGGAGTTGTACGAGTAAAGGGGAGAAAAAGGCACCAGTAATTAGGGCACAAAGCGGATGAGTCATATGCTTGGCCATGCTGAAGCACGTGCAGCGAAAAAACTTAACCTGTTGCACGCCGAACTCAAGTTCAGTGTTTCAGTGTGTGTTCTGTCAATGCGAAGAACTTTGGTTTCTCAGTTTCAAATTAACTGCGAAAGTTTTCGAGCGTTTTTGAAATTTCGATATCTTGCGGTGAGCGATCTTAGAAATAGTGTTTCTGAGATCTGCAGTTTCTGAAGTTTGTGTCAGTTAGTGCTGAATTTGTGGTGAAAATCTGGATTCCCGTAAGATGTTACGAACCAGATTTGGCCGAGTACCTCAGCATGTGCTGGTTCCGATTTCGGAGAATCTGGACGATGAGGATGGCCACTACCAACGATTGTGGCAGCTAGAAGATAAGGAAGACAAAGTTCCTGATGTGGTGCCTGTGAGGCAAGGATCGGTATGTAAATAATTCAGAAAAACCCGTTTTCTGAATTTCCAATTTACGTTGTGTGTGTACAGTTTTAACACTGTGCATAGAATGTGCGTTACAGTGTACTGTGTGTACAGATCGCTGGACGAGGACGCGGAGTGCCCCGACCGTCGGTGATGGCTGATGAAGCGCGTGTCGAAGTGGTGAGCCAGTTTTCGCAGATCGAAGTGGGATCTGTGAAACAGTTGGCGGTGAAGAAGAAGGTACGATTCCAGGTACAGCAGTTTATTCATGATTTCATGAACATCATGTTTCCTGCATGTACAGTGCATATGAATTCTTAAACATGTTAATAACGGCACATTAACATTGTCACAAACAGTGTTGTGTTTGACAGGATGAAGTGCAGCTCCTTGAAGTGAGCGGGGATAGTGGTGAAGTGCTGAAGTTCCGTGTTACGGGTAACACGAACAAGATCGCACTGGAGTCCTCTGCTTCACAGCAACCAGCGTTACTCCTGGAAAAATCTGTTTCCACGAGCACCAACGCCTTGATGACGGCACACTTTTTCAAGGATCCGTCAGTTCTGACTGGCCTCGAAGAACAGCATCTGAAAGAGGGAGGGATGGTGGCAATACTGGAACAGCTGCCTTACCCGTCAATTGGCGAGAATGACGATTTCGTAACAGCTGTCCCTGCAGTAATGGCCGTTCTGCGTGGACTTCGAGAAGTGTCGACTGACAAGGACTTTAACGTCCTTGCCATGAATCATCTGCAAAGATCGGCCTGGGAAGATTTCTTCGCGATGCTGAAGGAGTTGTCGAAATACGTGGATGAAGTGAATCCCACGTATTCAACTTCCTACGAGCAATGGAAGCAGCATAAGCAGTACCAGACAGATCCGTACTTGGATGTGAACTGTGACGATATCGCACTGGACAAACTGCTTAGTTTCCAGAAAGCAGTTTATCGGATGGTGCGTTACAGACGTGTGGCGGCAGGACATGGTCGATCTCTGACGTCGACCATTATCGCTGCGTCACTCCAGAAGATGGCAGGACTTGTGGAGTTTGTGGTCGATTATATGGACTTTATGGATAAGGTGCCATACCTGATTTCCTACCAGTTTGACCAGGTTGCATTCAATCCGCGTTCAACGGCTCGTCTGATCCCCTAGGAAATTGTAGAGGGCGAGGCGGAGTCAGGAGGATATGCTGCGCGTCAAAATGCAGGAAACGGCACCAGCAAGGAGGCCCAAGACTTCCTTCGTGAACGCGACATCCTGAAGAAGCGTATTCAGGAGGTGGTGGCGGAATTGCCTAATGTGCATTTGATGACGCCATGGTTTTGGCGTGTTTACCATGCGGTTGTGCAGACTGTGAACGGAATGTCCCTGCGATTCAGTTTGCCGCAGTATATTCCGCACACCAAGGAAAAGACCACCCCGATCGTATGCACTTACGAAAAGTGGCATAACATGGACCCGAAAATCCGAGGAGCAGCGCGGATTGTCCCGGGTAAACTTATCCTGGAGCTGGATATGCTGCGTGCCCTGCAGAAGAACCGAGCGGAGATGAGAACGATGTTGGCCCCCTTCCACCTATCCACACCGACGACAACCTTCCATATCCTCCCGGAGACCACCCGCGCCATGGAGATCCTGGATCGAGCAGAACAAGGGAACCAGGATGCTGCCAAGCGGATGAAGGAAGCGCGAGAGGGTTGGACGGACGCGGCGTTCGCACTGAGCGATCTGGAGCGCCTGTGAAGTCCAGATGTACGGCAAAGCGGTGGATGGGATAGCGGTATCTTCGGAAGAACGGCAAGGATATCCCCCCTGGACACGATTACGCGGATAAGGCTCCCAAGGGGAGGTAGCTTGTGTTGTTGTTGTTTTGCTTGTATTATGGGTTCCCGCGGACGGAAACCGTTTAAATGCGGGGGTAACGTCACATGAGTAACGTACGCCTTTTTTTATGTACTTATCTGGTAAAGTACATGGCTGTTTCTTCCGTTTGAGCTTACTAATTGGTCGATTGTATGCGCCGTATAATGACGTCGGCGCTGTTTTACGTTTTGCTAACATTCCCATGTATAAGCAGAGAAGTGATCATCTGTTTTGGATAGCGAAAGTTAGTCTAGACCAAAGTGATGTGTGAACTTGCAATTGCTAATAAAAACTTGTGTTATGAGAGCTCTCGTGTCTTCTGTAGCGAAAACATTAGTGTGTGTACCTACCGGAAGTCACAATTTTCTGGATAACTACATCATCCAGATCGTATTCGTGCACGTAGTTGGATAGCTGGTAAAGTGTTTTACTAGTTATCTGTGGATTAGGCATAAGAAATAGTTCATAGTGTTTATTTCCCACTTTATCTGCTGAGTTTGGATGGTCATCTAGTACGGTAGATGTAGTGCATCTTCCGTATAGCATGTCAGTACACATTTATCCCAGTGGAACTTTCTTCTGCAGCGCACTGGAGTGAATGCAGCGAATTGTAAAATTCCGCGGGTACTTGAAGGTCATTCGAGAGCTCCTCCGATTTCCATTAAACTGATGCACGAAGCGTGGGTGGGCAGCAGTTCAACATTAAATTGCAATTAGCACAAACTTAAATTACTCTAATTATAGTATATGCATAATGCAACGACAACTGGCAAACATATACCGGGTTAAAAGAAGGAAGGCACCAGATCACATGCGCAAAATTGTGCAGAATAGGGCTTTGTTTGCATACAAAAGCAGGAAAATTCCACTCGCGCTAATGTATCCGAAGTTGCTGCTCCTTACCAGGACTTTATCAGTGCAAAATGTCCCATATTGAACTGGGGAACCCACACGGTCGCGGTGGCATTCTGTTGAGCTGTGGCCAATTGCGTTACCGTCGTCTTGGTGCTCGGCGGCCGCGGACCCAACTCCGCCGTTGAAGAAGGCGAGATGGTTTTCAAATGGGTGACCGTTGTCTTGGTACTGGGTGGGCGTGGACCTAGTTCCACTGTTGCTAAAGGCGATATCGTCTGCAAATGAGTCACCGTTGTCTTTGTGCTCGGAGGTCGCGGAACCAACTCTACCGTAGAAGAAGGCGATATGGTTTGCAGATGGGTGACCGTGGTTTTGGTGCTGGGAGGTCGCGGACCAAGTTCCAATGTTGACGACGGCGAAATGGTCTGCAGGTGGGTGACTGTTGTTTTGGTACTCGGGGGTCGTGGACCAAGCTCCGCTGTAGAGGAAGGCGAAATGGTCTGCAGATGAGTAACGGTGGTCTTGGTACTCGGAGGTCGCGGACCAAGCTCCACCGTGGAAGAAGGCGACATGGTTTGCAGATGGGTGACTGTAGTTTTCGTACTGGGAGGCCGTGGTCCAAACTCCGCTGTAGAGGATGGTGACAGGGTTTCCAGGTGTGTGACCTTGGTTTTCGTAGTCGTTTTGGGCGGTCCGACCCATTCGTCGTCTACGAAGTCGCCGCGCGGATTTTTTAAAGGAGAGTTCACCGGTTTCCACTCAAAAATGCTGGAAAATGTTGGCTGAATCGCTTCGAAAGCATCGTCATGATCGCCTGGAAGGTAAAACAAGCTACCGGTAGCTGTTAAACAACAGAAACCAGGCCAAATATAAAATCAGTTTCCTTGTGGACGCTTGCTACAATAATTATTCCGTAAGATTTATACATTACAGAATTTCTTCAGTCTTGTCTAGCTTCTTAATTCCATTTGTTTTGATGGAAACATCGATATTATTCGCAAATTATTTCCGCCGACTTTATTTAAGCTCGTAATTCCGCTCGTCGCATAAATCAGTTTCACTTACCGGCATTATACTGAAGTGCAAAATTGCATTCCTTTTCTCCAAGTTTTCCTTCGTGGATAATCGCGTTTGTAATCACGGGAAACGCTTTCATCCCGCAAACCCCGTAGGATGCATTATATATAGATTGACCATAGGAAAGCACCTGCACGCTCAGACTGACATCTATGAAAGCCAGGGCAGAAATTACAGAATACCGCCACATTACGTCGCCGGTAAGTAGGGTAGCTGTTCAAAATACGGTATAAAGTGACTGACAATTTTATTACTTGAAACGCATTTCAAGTTTTACCTGTGATCCTGGTTAAATACAGAATTCAGCGTTTATTTCGCAGTTTTCGCACGATATCTGACAAACAACATACGAACACGGGGGTTGGTAAGGAGAAGCAGTTTATTAAGAAAAACACGTTTATTATTGTGTGCTGATTTTACTATCAACTTGTTATTTGGCTTATGTCACACATTTCAGCACTAGCAGCCACGGTTATGATGTACCATATAACCAGGCACTTATGAAAACAAGCAGCACGTTTAAACCACAACAACATGTTTGCCGTTACGGTGCGGTTACGGAGAATAACGCGGCGTAAATGCCAGGTTAATGTGCCGCTTCGGTATACGATGTTTGGTGTCGACGACCAGAAAACTTACGCTGACTGTGTACTAAAGCTGTTTTGCACCCAACAATATTTTTGTTCTTCCGAATAATAATTTCGCGGTAGAAAAGCGTTTTCACATATTAGAAATGTCATGGACAACAGCAAAGCATGAGCAGAAACATTTATTATTATTATGGAAACGTTTTGGTTACGCTGATTAAAAATTTAATTGTCATGCAGCACACAGAGCCATTTTGTTGGCATATTTGTATGCTTCAACTGGTTGAACGCATTCTACACACTGCACAGTGTACTGACATGCTATGCGGAAGTCGCACCGCGACGACCGCACTAGATGACCAAACCTACTCAATCGGTAGAGTGGGAATATGCTCTGGACTCCGTAAGTGGTACTACTGCCTACTTCCGCTAGGTACGAGCGGATTGCTGTGCCTAACGAAAGTTACCGAAACCAAAACACTCAGGAACTTCCCAAATGTTTAATCACCAAAACTGAACGAACGAACAAACAGAACAGAACAGAACGAGATATGAACTTCCTTCTAACCTAGAGTCACACGACCTTTCAGCTAGAAACAAGCTCACAGATTTAGTTGAAGTTAGAAACTTCAGACTCATTAGTTAGACCAGAATCGTGGATGCAATTAGCGATCAAATGCGTTAGATAAGAACAGCACATCGTACGTAACGGAACAGACAACATGTACGTCATAACACGTACGTAATACGCGCATACTACGCATAGCGCGTTAGTACAGTCGTGTATGTGGCTCGTATTTGTATCGTTCATTCGCAATACGTAATAATTAACCAATTTAGCGAATGATATCTGCTTCCACTAAATAAAAACAACTCCCAAAGTTTCGTTTTCGACGCAAACGGATTAAAGGAAGATTCACAATTTAACTCATACTTTCCCCTATTTGAACATAATAATTCATCTTCTTTTTTGAGTGGGTGGGTTCCAAAAAAGGGAAATAATTCAAAAAACCGTACAAATGCAACGAATTGTAGATTAATATTGTTTTTGGGCCGTAAATGTTGTACAACAAAATTCCATCCGCAGATGATCAGCGATAACATGTTGCATACAGCATAAGTATCACTGTAATCTGGAATAAAGTTATAACCAATCTTATCGTTTTTTGCTGCCATTTTATGCTTCATTATTGTGTCACATTTAGTCAGAAATTGAGAGAAGTTGTTGTGATGAAAGAATACTACGTAAATCCCGAAATAATAAGCTCAGTGCGTTATTTTCATGGCTTAAAAGGCCAGTATTAAACAAAGAGAGCGTAGTATTAAATCAGCTCTACAGTTCCGTAGTTTGCAAAACAAGGCATTTGTGCAATGCGTAACTACCGTAAAAATCGAATTATAAGCCCTGGGCTTCAAAAGTTGGAACGCCTTGCGGAGGGGCTTTAATTACGGGCATGGGCTTGTATTTTGGGGGGGGGCTATTATATTTCAGATGTGTTTTATTGGCAAGGTCGTAAAAATTACATGATAATTGCTAGGTACCGGTACATGCCGGTGCTCAGAAATTTCATTTTCCGTGCATTTTATTAAAGCCCAGGGCTTCTGTTTCGGGGGGGGGGCTTATAATTTTCGAACCATTTTGAGGGGGGCTCTAATTACGGGAGGGCTTCTATTATGGGGGGGGGCCTATAATTCGATTTTTACGGTATATCACACGAACGGTCAATTCATTCTGAAACCATCACTGGATGCACGGTGCGCTTCTTAAAACACACTGCTTCTCCAAAAGATTGATAATTTTAGCGAAACAATCATGCTAATAACGATTTTGCCGAGACATTAACTGGCCTCCTCACCGCATCACCAGGAACCGGGTAATGCCTGTGTCACTGTTAACCTCGTTAAAGCGCAGCATTGACGCCGTGTCATATTAACCATTACTGCATCAGCATTTCCTGCGACGCACTTTCCAGCGCCGGTCGCTTTTAAAAACCCGTTTTTCTTTGTAAAGGTTACCCTAGCAATCTTTACAATACTTAGCAGCAGGTGTGTCTATATATGCGCAGCCTATATGACTATAAATAAAAATACGGCTAATTAGGTGGGCAACGGAGTAAACGGCCGTGTCTGTGTTAATCCTATTAATTACGCCCATGTACAGAGTACTGCAGTGCTGCATCTATTACGCACGGTGTTAAAAGCTGCTCTGTTGGGACAACGTAACAACACTACAAGAGGGTTTCCTGCAACTGACGACCGCCTCTGCACCTCTTCCCGAAATGATTTTATTTCCCACATCCATTAAGGCAGCACTCCGTCTGATTATCCCCTCATTGTCTGGAAAATAATTGCGTGCATTAAACTATATCAACAAATTCAGCCGAATCTTCCGTTATATTTGGAATTAATCCCGATAAAATGCCAGAGAAATTTTGGATCTGTGCCTATAGAACCACAGCACCTTTTTGCGTGTCATTCATTCTTGTAGTTGTGACCATAGAATAATGCTTTAGCACCCATAATTTGATAATGTTTTATCAGGCACTATTTTAATAAACTAGGATGATCAACGGGCCAATCTGATTACAAGCTTTTGTGCACAAATTACAAAGGTCATGGCTTTGGCCAATAATTCATCAGTTGTACCTTTCGGTCCGGTAATTGCGTACCCAGAATTGTTAGCCTGGTTTATCATCTCCACCATTATCTGCGTTATCGGGACCATCGCTGGTGTGGCTTTGATGAGCGTCATTTTAAAACAGCACAACTTTCGCGACGGAACCAATCCTTTGATCGTCCAGTGGCTGGGCCTCGACTGCTTCATCCTGGCCATCCCCACGCTCCTGGCCAACATCGAGGTCTTCCGCACCCAGATCGGCCATCCGGGCGCCATTAACTGCAAACCGGTGTTTTTCCTGCAGTACTTTCCCACCTGCGTCTCGCACTGGATCCAAGTATGCATCGCGTTGAATCGCTGCACGGCGGTCCTGTTCCCGCACCACTTCCGGACGTGCTCCAGTCGCGCCAGTGTGGGGACGATGAGCGGTTTCTGTTGGCTGTTAAATATCGGGCTGTCGGTGCCGTTTCTCTTCGGGGTGGGAGCGACGTTTGCGCAGGCCTTTCCCCTGGGTTCGTGTAGTCTGTTGATTAATAATCCGCGGGTGTTTCTCATTATGGGCTCGCTGGTGACCACGGTTCCGTTGTGTCTGGAGGGGCTATGTTATGCCGTGGTTTTGGTTGGTTTTCGCTGTCAGCGACAAGTGCAACCAGGGAATTCGCGATCGGATGCTCATCGCCAGAAGCGGAAGCGAAAGGAGAATATGATCTCGCTGGTATTGCTGCTGTGCTTCTTATGGTATTTGGTGTGTTATCTCCCGCAGACCGTTATATCGTCGTATATGGGATGGTACTGGCGGACGCACTGGAGCGCGTTTAATTGGCTTCGAACGCTTTTTGGAACGGCACAAGCCGGAACACCGGTAAGCACCAAATAAAACTATAATTTCTACCAAATTTTCTAATTATTCCGCACACTGCTACAGCAGTCTCCAATCTTATGATTAATAATAGTATTGACGAAAAAAATAAAATGCCTTTCGCACCCTGAAGCATTTTTTTTCCCACTTTGTCTGACAACCAAAATTTAATAAGATATTGTAAATCCTGGGGTTTGTCATAAATAAAGGGATTGTACTGCAGTGAACCAGGACTCACTTTTATTGCAGTTTATCCTCATGGTTGGCAACGCGGAATACCGAGCCGGCATGTCCCAGCTGATCCGTTTTCATTTCAACGCGATTACGGCTCTCCCTGGTTCCTCCAAGTTTTCCACATCCGGTTCCACACGAAAAAATGGAAAGAGTATCAATGCTCCAGTACAGCAACCGAGAAGAGCGCCAAATTTTGATACAGAGATGTTCGTTCTACCCTTGCAGCAGGTCAAATTTTGTTTAACTTTCAAATGCTTAATTGTTTACACTTGGATAGATTTTTTCAGTACTTATTCCCAAAAGCTGAATACAAAGATCCACGTCTAGATACGCACATACTAAAATAGAATTTATGGAAATACTCACAAACCTTCAAAGAATTTATTGTTGTGTTCATTATGCATGCGCAATTTAATACTTGCTTTAATGGTTTTCTTTATTGACGTGAAAAGTAGATATCTCTTGATTTACCTCCTGTGTTGTCGGTGACCTGTGATCATCAGTTTTTGCAGGTTTTTGCAGGAACACAAACACATGGTTTGAACATGGTTTTTGCAGCAACACAAATGGACAAATTTATTACAATATTCTTTGTTATTCATGCAGGGAAAGAATTTGTTGTACTAGCGCACGCTATAGCTTTTGTTGCTGCTTCTCACCGTAGTCAGATAAGCCGAAACAAAAGATACAGTGTGCGCACTGCCTGTTTTGAAGCGTGCAGCCGGTTTCTGACGGGACCCGACACAAGGGATTTTCGTATTATTAAAAACAATCAGTGACGGTGAGAAAACTGGATTTTAATAAATAGAATTCTTCGGGTTGTGGAACTCACAAGCGCCCATTAATAGTTTTCTGAAACATATTCCAAGCAAATGTTGGCTAATTTACCGGTTTATTAGTTTCTCCAATAGCCATACACGTAGTGTTAACAAGGCATAATAACGGTATAACATTGTGCACATTGCACAATTCGTCATCGCAATGCAATAATTTTTTCTTACTGTCACAACAACACCGCAGAGGAATATTTGATATAAGTATGTATGCAAAGACGTTCTTGTCTTGATGTACACACATTTTATCCATTTGATTTCACGGCTAAAATAATATAGGCACAGGAATACCAAATCCGCATGTAGTACAGTAGTACACAACATACGGGTGAGCCTCGCTCTCATGAGTACCTCCGTCAACGATTGTCGCTGGAAATTCAGCGAGGCAACGCTGCTTCCGTGCTCGGGACAATGGAGGGAGCGGCAGCATTAATAAATGAAATTCTGTTTTTTTTATCTGTTGTTCTGAAACTGTGATGTTACCGCATTTTCTTGGAGATGAATTTTGCAACTTACATAACATCCACCTTCAATAGTACAGTAGTAACGGTACCATTGTCCTGTCCATTAGTGCTACTTTTGGGTAGGCTGTTGCAGTAAACTAAACTGTACAGCTGCATGTGGATGTACAGTTTATGCCAATTCGGTGTCACACCATCCGACAAATGTAAACGTTGTCTGCACAACCTTTCCTACAAACATCTGTCTGTCAAAGCGTCACAAACGTACCATATTCTATAGATCAAAACGCATTTATACGCATGACTGACAGTCTGGCAGTGGCAGATAGTAGCTAGATACCCCTGGTGCTCGAACACGGTCATCATGTTCCTCAGCCCTCACATTTGAAAGTCGGGCAATACCGAATACTTACAGAAAGAGAAGTACTGCCGCAAAAATTTCCTACATGTTTGACTTTCCTTTCTTGCTCAATGGGAAATAAGGATTTAAATTGAGCTTATTTAACTGAAGCGCTTTTATTAACTGGACGTAATGCCTTTGTACATCTTTCCACAAGCAATAAAACGAAGATTTTGGGGTATACATGTTACCGGTTATCTGAAACGTTTTGCCTAGCTTAACGGGCGATTACTGATCAGCCTTATAGTTATGGACTTCTTTCTGCTTTCTGTTAGTATCAATCTGACCGTAGAAAACACTACCAATCGCAGTGCAACATCATTATCAGCAGCGGAAACTCCTGCACAACAATTTGGCACGATCTATTCCTTACTGTTATGCGTATTAACACTGATCAACAACGGCGCCGTTCTCCTGGCGTTCGTTCGCAGTCGTAATCTACGTTCAGCTCCCTTCAGCTGCTACCTGCTGAATTTAACCATGGCCAACCTGTTCCACAGTATTGCCTCAAGCCCACTGGAAATCGCTCTGCTTCTTTCACCCGGCAGGCAGCACCCAGCGGTTTTCTGTTCCATCGTTTTGCATTTTATGTACATCAGCAACGCACTGATGATGCAGTGCCATGTACTGATCACCAGCAACCGCGTATGGGCTATCATCTTCCCGCTCTCGTACCGGCAGCATCACTCCACAAGAACCGCAGTGTTTCTCTGCGTCTTGACCTGGCTGAGCACGTGTGTCGTGCTGCTACCCGGTTTGCTAATGGATGCGCTGTATTTTCGCGAGACGGGCGACAATGTCACCTGCTTAATGGACCCAAAAGCGCATCCGTCCCTGTACCAATGGAGCATGGCGACCCAAATCCTTCTCTATGTATTACCGATTGGCATCCTCGTGGCGGCGTATTTGCTCATCTGCTGGAAACGCCATCAGCGTGGAACACGCGGAGTTGTAAGTAGATTACCAACGGAATCGATGTCGATCAACCAACGGAAACAGTCGTCCAAAGCGTTCACGGCCTTGACGTTGCTGACCGTGGCGGTAGTAGTCTGCTGGACGCCCCTGGCGGTCTGTTACTGTCTCCTGAATTTTAGTGGGGTGGTGATCGCGACGTTCTTCCAAGTGGCGCGGTATGTCTGGGCAATCGAGCCGGTTCTGGACCCGATATTCTTCATCATCGCTTTTGATGATCTGCGGGCTGAGCTCCGCGACTTACTCCGAATGCGATTCAAATGTGTCCGTACGGCTTAATTTGGGTACAAACAGTCAACTATTTGTATTGTATGTAGAAATTAAAATTTTCGTGCACTGATTTTGTAAGATTTCAGGAAAATTGTTGTGATTGCTATGCATGTCTGCTTACACAACAAACAGCCACAATTTCAAAAGAAAAGAATGATAACAAATGAAGTTTTCGCACTGAGAAATATTTATTTTAGCTTCTTTACCTACTTCTATACACTGAAAGTTGGAAAATTTCTGTACAATGAAAAAATTACTCCGAGACGAAACGCGTGGACAGGCTCAACTTCGCCTATGAAAACCTTGTATTGTACACCAACCGGACAGAGTTTAATCATTTTTAGAATTTTAACAGAACCGCTCGTAAGCAAAAACGGCATCATCATAATAATATTATACAGTGCATGAACTGATGAATATAAACGTGCATAAACGAGTCCATGATCAGAAATGCTCAACTCCGCCGATCCACGATTACTTTAGAAGACGGCAAACAAGTCGCTAAAGCATGCACTCTCTCCACATGGTAACGGAAAAACTACCGCTTAAGGGAAGATATTAGTTGAAAAAATCAACATTAAATCCTGTAATTATTATATCTCCAACGCAGTGCTTTGTATCGTTCCAAAATATTCGAATGAAAACGCGCTAAAATTTGATGTCGTTTACTCAGATTATATTGCTTAATCACCTTTTATTTGGCAGTAGCAACCTCACATAAAAATGCCTGCGCGCTGGATACTACATAAAATGGCTTAATTATTGCTTAACCCTATTAACAACAATACAGAAAAGCAGTTTTTTTTTCAACAAAATACTTCGGTCAGTGGTTCCAGGCCAAGTATGTCCTTCCACAGTTCCCAACTACCAAACGGATTCAATCGATGTCATGCTGATTCCTGGTGATTTCCACTCGTAAATGATTCAGCGGAAGCCGGTGTGTACATCAGCCAGCATGTGCGGTAGTTTCTGTATTCTTCTCCTCCGAGACATTTGATATCGTCAATCTGGGACAGCAGTTGCAATGGCGTCTGTAACCGACCAAAACGTCCAGACGACCAAGTCGTCCGGCGGACGCTTTAGTCGTTAAACCGACCAAACCGTCCGGTAACCAAAAAAACGTCCGCCGTAAATTTTGCCCATTCAAAAATTTTTGCATTCTCGATGTGACCCGAAGTTCCTGAGAGCATCTCAGCCAGGACACTTTGGGCGCAGCACTATTTTAGCCCGGACACTTTTGTCGGAGCACTATTTGGAGCCGGACACTTTGGTCGGAGCACTTTTTCAGCCCGGACACCTTGGTCGGAGCACTGTTTCAGCCCGGACACTTTGGTCGGAGCACTATTTCAGCCCGGACACTTTGGGCGCAGCACTGTTTCAGCCCGGACACTTTGGTCAGAGCACTATTTCAGCCAAAAACCAAAGATCGTCTGATAGAAAACTTCAAAAAACCCTATCATACAAAGTCTACGGACCTCCACCACAACCAATCAGCGAGGACGTTAAGCAACTGCTGGGTTCAGTTGCTTGGGAGCTTTTGTGGTGATATTGAAATTTTGCAAATTTTGTTTACTTGGACATTTCGGTCTTCTGTTTCGGTCTGCCTGGGAAATAAGCTTCTAGAAACCTTTGTGTATAGCGTTGGGTTTTAGGATAACAAAAACATATGCTCGAGAAAGGTTTAAATCATTTTACAACTGAACGCACAAAAAACTAGGGGAACCTATTAAAGCAGTGTTCCAAGTGAGATTCGCGAACCTTCTGCTGACAACTGGCAACCGGCAAGCTTAGAATAGCTGCGGGATGGCGGGTGGCTGCTTGATACTTATGTAGAAGACAGTGTTCTGTATCAGAAAAATTTTGTGATTTGGTCGGTACGTAGGGCGATTCCGTCAAACCTGGATCCATCAGTGAATCTGGGTGCGCAACTCTGGTTACGTGTTCATTGTTCTTCACCGGGCGATGCGACAACCCTTTGGGGAGATTCAACAAGCTTTATTTTCGACAAATATTTAGCTTTATCAACACAACACAGTTAACTTTGACAACGCAGCATTCATCATCTATGCATTGATTTGCTCAAAAAAGAGCAACAGTTATACGAAAGGTTAATACAACGGCACTGGCACGGTATCGATATTTCCACGCTTAACGGTCGCAGACGAACGTACTACCGTTTCTTTGTTGCGATAGTTTATGCATTTAGAATACCCCTAGTTTTTGCATTTAGTTTATGCATTTAGAATTTAGTAGTTTGCTGATACTCCCATGTTCCACCGTTTGTCGAATCGCCCTGTCAATTGCGTAAAATGTATAGACTAAAAATACAATAGGCCTTTGTGAAGTCTAAGCCATTGCGTGCTATTGTTATCGAATCGCCCTCTGAACCGATTTGGACTCCAAATTTTGGAGTCCCACTTTGTGGAGACTTAAGAGTACTCCTACAGATCTACTGTTAAATGTTCTATATGTACATCGTTCCACGTTTTTTATAGGTTTTTGTTCGTGTTTGTGGACTAGAAACAAAGCGATTTACGAGCAACAATAAATAACAATTGAAATGAACTTTATGGTGAACGCTTTAATTACATAATGCTTGAACTTTAAAGTTCACGCCAAGAATTGTCGATTTTCGACGAATAATAATAAATGCTTGCTGAGGAATGCTACTCTTGAGAACCGGAAGATGTCTTGCGAATAAAATGGATGAGCGCAACTAACCTTACTCCGATGATTCCAGCGTCACTGTTTCAAACGGTATCTTCATGAAAAAAAGTATCTTTGAATTTTGGTAGTAAATAAGTGATAGGAACATAAGGCGAAGCCGAGCTGCTGCACGAGGAAAGCTCGCAGAGTAGCAGTCAAGCGAAATGATGTTTGGAAATTTTATTTTCTTCAGTGTATCTGCCAGCTCTTCAAGAATTGATCCTTTAAAAATAAACAAAGAATTTCATGTAAGTAGTTAGCTGGTGCGTAATTGCCGCCTGCCAGTGGAAAAGGTAATGAATTCGTTAATAAACGAGTAATTATCAAGGTAGCTTCGATAAGCATCATATGAAGCCAGCCTTAACAGCCTTTCAATAACGTAATTTATCTGTAATTGATTTGTTCCGCGCAGTTTGCGCGCGGTCAACCGGTTATTTAAAACAGCTATGAAAGGCAGCCTTTACAAGTCAACCATTATACGGTCAGTTTGTATAGTATTTAGGCTGACCGAAAGCTTGCACTTAATTATACCGTCCATACGGTAAAGAAAAGTATTAAGGCATGGTTGATTAGAGCACTGATTTCAGTTCTTCCACCATAATCAGTGAAGAGCGTACTTCGAACAAAAGCACACTCGTATAGGCGGGTGATGAATGACTGTAACAAAGAAAATTTATTCATCGAGTGACGACGAAAAAATTTTTGCATAGTAACATGAACCGTAGAACCCAGTCCAAGTAGGAACACATTTTGTCAATCCGCCTAATTTCCAGATTTGACTGCCGGAAATAAAAGAGAGCTCCAACCAAAGTGTCGGGTCCAAATAATGCTCCGACCAAAGTGTCCGAGATGAAATAGTGCTCAGACCAAAGTGTCCGGGCTGAAATAGTGCTCCGACCAAAGTGTCCGTCTCCAAAGGTGCTCCGACCAAAGTGTCCGAGATGAAATAATGCTCAGACCAAAGTCTCCGGGCTGAGACGCTCTCAGGAACTTCAGGTCACATCGGGAATGCAAAAATTTTTGAATGGGCAAAATTTACGGCGGACGTTTTTTTGGCCCCCGGACGGTTTGGTCGGTTTAACGACTAAAACGTCCGCCGGACGTCTTGGTCGTCCGGACATTTTGGTCGGTTACAGGTGTCGTCTCGATCCACACGCTGGGCATATCTATATCCCGTAGACGCTGCAGCATCGCGCTCAACACCACGCGGAACAGATCGCGATGCACGTAATCAGGATGGATGTAGACGGCTATTGCCCTATAGGGTAGGCTCCTATAGCACCGCACATCATCTACATACAGTACGCTATCGGTCGCGTACTGTCGCCATCAAACAGCGCCACACTGGGGAATTTCTTTCGCAGGAACAAATGCCGGTTAGCCTCAGTAAGCGGCTGTTTTGGCACAAGCGGCTCGGTCAACATATACCGCAAGTAGCCTGTCCACGCCTCCGGATGCCCCCAGTGGCCATTGCTGATAATGTGCTCTACATGGTCGACGGACAGTTCACCCATACGGAGGTCGTAAGGACTCGCCAATCTAAATAATCGGAACATTTACCGTAGTCGTATAAAATGACAATTTAGGATTTTATTATCTTTGACGAATCGTAAAACTACTCTGTAATTGACCAGCCGAGCAAAAATTTCCTTGATAAAGTTGTGCACATGTGTGCACAAGTACGTTGATCTCGGGATGAAACTGTTTTCAGTTTCACTCGATCAGAAAGCCCGCTTGTGCGGCATATCTAAAGCCTCACAAACGAATCTCGCATACGTACTCGTACCTCATGTATTCACACAGAATCATTTACTTGTACGAACTTCTAGCAATAATATATTAAGTATTTAATACTGGGTGCGACAAAACGATGATAATATCATGTTCTAAAAACAAGCTATACTTTTAACGCGAATGCTACGTACAGCTACTTTGATTTTATCGAAGTGAAATAGCAGACAGATATCTTATCATTCTTATGCATTCCCATAGTACGATTATGATGAAAATCACGTTCGAGTACTGCATTAAAAATTGCCAGTCATAATACAATTAAGAAAAGTATGAAATCACTCCGTTCAACGTATGGTTAAATTTAAACTTCATTGTTATATTGTTAAAAAAAACCAAAACAGCAAGATAAACGCAAAAAGAACTAGAAAAGGACAATAAACAGCGCAGTTGTTCTGAAATTTGTTATTATATTATCTGCTCTATGTTTAGCTTACGTCTGATCGATGTGGATGTTTTTCAGGTCCAAATGGAAACATTCTCCCTGGGAAAACTCGTTGGGCTCAATATAAGTAAATGTACCGCGACTTCCGTAACGGTCCATCAGTGCATTGGCCGTCAGCTTTTTCAGACCTGCTCCACAAAATTCAATGCAGAAAAATTCGTCAGCGAGTACACACAAAAACATTATAAAACACGACCGGATCTACTATATCGTATTGTACATCGCCATCTACAAGTTAAGCACTTACTATCATTTTGAGAATTATGTATTTATGGGTAAACTTTTCAGCTGACATACCTGGAAAGATTATGTGCGTCTCCCAATTGAGAAACTCTGGCCGCTTGTCCATTAACTCTCGAAATTTTTTCAGTTCAGTGGTATAGATAAACACCAGTAAACAGTCGGCCATCCTCGGTATATACGGCGGTGCTTTCTTTCCCTGCCGGCGTTTGGGTTTGCAGATGCACACTCTGGGCTGTGGCAGTTGGTCGACAGCGATTTTCATACGGGGTCATGCAAATCGCCTCTGGACTCGATTCTCGACCATATGGTACATCTACCAGACAAAAAGCAACCGGACGTTATTGCATGTACATTGCGCAAAAGCATAACTGTTCCCTCTAACTCCGAAGTTCCAAGGAAGGCAATGTTAGCCGAACATACCGATCGGTTTTTTGTGCCCTGTAAGCTCGGCAGTAATACTTCCATAATATCAGATCTTCCAAGTTGCACCATCTGTTCTTCAGTCATGCGAGCATATCGACGCCGCCGCTTCGGCACGACTGCTCCCTGACTAGTATTCTGTTCTGCAGCATGGGCCTCCATTTCTGCAATGCTACACAAATACTCTACCGGATTTTGTCGATCAAGTTTTGTTTACTGGACTTGCAAGACGTTAAGTGCCGAAGTTTTTTTACAGTCACAAAATTACGAATAAAGGGCTACCGTACACATCACACAACCGAACGCTATTACGTATAATTATGAAGACCTCTAAGTCTACAATCCATAACCGCTGCACAGAAAGAAGGATACCATTGCCTGAATCAAGCATTCGTGCGGTACATACAGTACTTTACTTACAGAGTGTCGCAGTGATAACTTTAACCGTCTAACTCGAACCAACGTCTTTGTGTTGTTGCTAAGCCAACGGTATTGCTATTACGATGTAAAGGAAACTCGTGTCGATAACCGGTGTCATTACAGCGCCGTATAGCTCACGTCCGCATATTTTCACGCACCAGCAAGTTTAACAGCCAACTGGATATTTTTGCCGGTTGAATCATTCATTAAATTTGCAAACAAACGTTTTTTCTTGGTCTGTTTTATTACGAGTACTTGTTAGTAAAGTTGTTACTCGTATGAGCGCTATAAATGTTGGAATCTAATCAAGCTATTATCGAAAAGCGACCCGCATGCCTGGTCATCGAGGCGGCAGGAGTGGAAAAATTTGCTGTGCTCGAACAAGGCACAAGCAGTCTGGTACGAGCACCTCATCAGGTTCTGATATGTGATGCCTTGTTCCATCCAAGCAAATCACACCAGTCACGCGTCTGTAGCTGCCAGTACGATCAAACCAGTTACGATAAATGCCAAATCACGATAAATGCTAAAATGCCAGGACATATCATTATGCATGGGAGGGCTTGAGCAATGAGCAGTCTCTCTATAAGTTTGTTTTCTCACCAAACGCCCGTTCACGCGCTCCGGTCATTCAGAAAGAGGTGAAACCTTCAGTTTTAAAGTTTTGTGTGCTTATGAGTTTATATGAGAAATATCCAAACTGGCGGCTTTGACGCTCGAATATGCTACTCTCGAGTAGCTTTTTCTAAAGCAACATTTTTGAATATTTGGGCGTGGATACAAACGTGCAAAAGACACATCATCGTGATATGGACCAGTTATGAGCGCTTATCTTATCTCGTGCGTTACTTAGCTTTTGCAGAATTCTCACAATTTACAGGATTTACTAAATTTGCGGTCTATTTTGAACCGGACTATTTTCAAATTCAGGTTCTTTGACTGTATTTTGCACGTTGGTAATTGTTAGGCTGTTATACACCTATATCTATATACAATACTGTTTATTTTTGTACTGTTAAATCTTTCGCGTAGCGTCGAGTCGGCGCGTTACATAACCCGGAACACTTCTTACTAAAACGAAGTATAGCAGGTCAAGGCCACGCAGCGTCGGTTGCTTGGCCATCCCTCAGTTACCTGCTATATAATCTCATTACACGTGCACGTTTGGGCTGAGTAAAGCGAGATTCTTTGAGCAAACTGGTCCATTTAAGCGTACACCGAATCCTTCGCCCCAAAGCAGTGTTAGCAACGTTGTACAATGCACGGTATACATTGTTAATTTGTTAACACTGTTCTACGGTGTGAGATTGGGAACGATTTCGGCACGAAGTACCAATAGCTCAGGCTGCGCAATCTTGGTCGACGATTGAACGCAAGTTAAGTTGTCTGTAGTCCGAGCTGTCCAAAGCTGATTCTGCGATGCAGATGCAAGTTTGGATCGCTCTCGACCCGGCCGTATGCCCATGGACAGCCGCAGGTAGGCACTAGGCACCCATTAACTGTAAGCAGCCACATGCCATATACGCCCATGTTCGGCTTTCGTTGACTCTACGAAGTAAATTATTTTCGGATTATATAGGGGGCAAAACTAAACGTGTTCCACGGTTCCCCTGTATTGCTGCCGTCACCCGGCTGGAGTTTTACGTTGTGGCTAAACATGGCGCTTATGTACCGCACCAGATTTAACCATATGTATTGCCGTAACGTCACACTCCAGGCGGGTGACGGCAGCAGTACAGGGCCACCGTGGAACACGCTTAGTTTTGCCCCCTATACAATATACACTGTATCTGAATGTACACATGGCAAGTACTGTGTGGCTATCTTGCCTAAATCTATTCCAGAAAATGTGACGCGTACCTACTCTAGTATGCATATGTACGCTGCATAATTATACGGCCTAATACAGGAAACCTGAGCTTCGCAGCTCTGCATATCAAAATTACTTAATGCTTGCCGCGGATTAGGGATGTTGTGACAAATTAAAGATTTATTTTCGGCAGCTTGTCTTAACAAGTTAGCCACGATAAGAGATTGTCGTGAGCTTACAGTTATAGCGCATGATCTGAGACTATCGAACAATAACCGTAGTAATTATGATGAAAATTAATCTATCTGAAACGCATAATAACAAGCTGCAGAGCGCGGTATCTTCCTTTATATCGTAATGCCATGCAGACTTATTGCATAGGTATCTAAGCTTTAACAAATCCGCCTTAAATCCATGAAATACGATTTAGTCGGGCAGCTGGTAATTAGAAGCTTCTTGTAAATTCCCGTTTAGCGGTAATAAGCACATTTAATCAACTGAACGGCTGCCGCCCTGAGATCAGGTAGTGCTAAAGTAAACAGTATCGGATCCAGTACCATCTGCACCAGATACATGGTGGTACCAAGTTGACCTAACCAGCCGATTTCAATATCCATGAACGTCCCAACCGTTCCATAGACCTTGGTAACTGTCCAGCAGATAAAGACGGAAATGGTCTGTACGGTCAGCACGGTGAAGCCGGTGGAATTCTCGCGGCCGGGTTTTTTAGTGGTAAGTTGTCCTTGTTCGGTTGATGCTGGGGTTTTATTGGAATGTTCCTCCGATGAAGGTATGGATTTCTGATTGTGCATTACGGAACGCATTTGCATCCGGCGCCGGTAATACAGAAACGGATAAGCAATTAAGATGGCGACGTATGGAAGGAGAAAGACAACAACTTGAATTACCTAAACAGTATAATCAATGATTGGGTTTAGATATGCAAATAAAAGTTAAAATTGTAACTGTAAACGCCTCGTTGCAAGCCTGTAGTGCTTCCATGTACAATAAAAAGTGATAGTTAAAAGAAATCCCAGATCAGAACAGCTACTTCATGCCTAATTATAAGATTGCAAGTATCTCCGCCAAGAGTGCTTTTTGTTTGTATAAATAATTTACATTAAAGTCATGTATTGCCGGTTAATGTATGTATGAGCCGTGATGTGATAATACATCCTGGTTGTTTACGCATCCACTATAACATTAGCCACGGTGCAATTAATTTTTAATTTTTGAATGAAAATGCGGTGGTCAACATACTCACACATCCTTGTAACTTTTGCCGAAATACAGTGGGTGGTCTACGCGGATGCGCTACGTTAACGCTAGCGTTTACAATATATGCATACCTGGGAGTACACAAGCTGTTCATTGACATTAATAATGCACCAGCGATCCGAATCGAAATTCCCGTAATACAAGAAATCCCGGATAAACAACGGCAACAGCCAAACGTGACAGTACAGCCACATCACAGCACAAATCCCCACCGCCACTTTCCGGTTATGGACATTCCGATAGGAAATAGGCAGGACAATCGCCCAAATCCGGTTGGTCGTGATAAGGAAATGCGAGTGCAGGACAACGGCACTGGACACCCAATCACTGTAGATCAACACCAGACACCACCGGCTCCAGGCGAACCAGTCGGTGCGCATTAATTCAATGGTCCGGAGTGGATTGGCCAGAGTCATGAGGATGTTGGCGGTGAGGAGATTGATGAGGTACATGGCGAAGGGAGTGCACAAGCGGGGACGGCATATGAAGAGGCTGAGGACCACACCGTTGGTGGCCAGGGTGGCGATGGTGAAGAGGGTCTGGATGGTCGCCGCACCGTTCCATGTACCATATGGATCGCGCGAAGAATTGGCGTAAATAATAGTAGAATTATTCATAAACACCATTCTGACAGAAAATTAATGAGACATAGCAAATGTCAGATAAAGACTTCTCAAGCGGTATTTGCGCTGCAGAAAAAGTAGATTGACACTTAAAAAAATCTACCCGGTAACCGATGTAATAAGAATGAGAATGGCATAGAACTTAAAAAATACCAAAACCGTAATCAGTTATCATGTGGTGATTATTTAGTTATTTAACAGCATCTTTCTGATGCAAAATGTAGCTGAAAACAGCGTTAATTAAAAGATAAAGAATTGCCAGAAATTGAAAAGTATTTACAGCTTTTGCTAAAGACATCTATAAGCCATAACATTTTGACAAGCAAATTGATGGTAAAAAGATGCACAACGTTGAGCAGAATACCGTACACGCTGTTAAACACACTCGCGGGATTGATGAGAAGGATACCGATGATTATCCAGCAGACCGGAAGCGATATCAACAGTTTCCAACTGACTGCCGATAAGTCTCGACGTCAGCTCCGGCCGGCATGCAGTCGTAATGACAGTTGGAAAAACCGCCTTGCTAATGAGTGCGTCGACAGATAGCGTGCCCGTCGGCCATAAAAATTATCTGTAACATTCCGCGTAAAAGTGCGGACTCCCAATAAACCCAGCATCCACTTCAATCAATATCTGTATATACATACAGAATCTACGTTTTACGCCGGCTTTGCTTGCTGTAGCGCATTCCTCTGTACCAGGATATAACGCAACGCAGAGCTGTCGTTAATGCGCTCGGAGGCACAGTGCGTCGGCGAAACAATCCCAGCTCTATGCAGAATTTATTAAAGGCTTTTATTACTTCCCGCATTATGACGAGATCAATGGATATGAATGCACTATTTGTCCGCATGTAATTGCATTATCCGCCGCCGCCAAATACGAGTCTAAGTACTGCAGACTGTTGTCTGCTGACTGAAATTAACTGTGTACGCGTGGTATGCTTATCAATCACGTGCCGGTGCCCCTGTAAACCAGCACGTAGGCAATTTCAATCCGTTATTATAGTGCATTAACGGAAATTATTACCTAGTACATGGTACCAAACTTGTGTGGTCAACTGGACACGCAAAGACACTACTTCAAGTACGCTTTTTTTGCGCTTTTTCAGTTTTTCATTTGTTTAAGGACGTAGGCAGATAGATGATTTCTATACATTGACGAGAAAAGCGTTCATGTGCGCAGCATCCGGTTGCAAAAATGAATATTACGCATGAACTAAGAGTGCCTCATTTTCCTTATAGTTTAAAACCATTTTCAAAAATTAAAAAAAACCTTTCAGTACCTTGGAACGGTGTAAAACGATGTTTGTATTGATCGATCTGTGTTTAAGTGAATCTTTAAAGAAGGTCGTTCCACTGTACCATAATAATGACCCCTTTGGTGCATCTGCTTGCGTTTTAAACGTCAGGAATCTCGTCGCACCCATAACTTCCCAACCGGAAATGGCGCGATTCTCTCGCCCATGTATATAAATTATTTGGGCAAAGCATGCGAAAAAGTGTTTTGGGTTGCGGGAAAGCTACAACCTCCGAGCAGATTTACGAACCTCTTTTGTATCGTGCACTGATGCACAGTGCAGAGCAGGCTGCACTCCACGCGCTGCTAGGGCACTGTCACTCAACGAAACCAAGGTCATTATGCGATCATATTATGTTGTTGATCACCAAGGAACATCTTTTTGCCTATTTTAGATCAGCACAATGTGGCAACCGGATGTTGGGCATATTAAGGTTTTTTTATTCCAATGTATACAAATTATTTGGTTGAATATTGACATAAAACAATATTAAAAGTGCTCCGTAAAGCGTAAAAGCAAAAATATTAGTCATTATTGGTTCCGCTCACTGGATCGGCATCAATAAAAGGGTGACGGCATCATCAATGAAAATGCAGTGTTCATACTTATTTAACAAATGTTGTGTATTTCAACCCAATGAGCAACACGCAAAGCACTGCATAATGCATATACATACTGTAATAGGACCGTGTATGCCGCGTGATGTACGCGGCGTGCACGTAGTAATATACGTAGAAGCAGTGTTAGCCTGTTAAGTTACAAATTTTATTGGACAATCAAGCATAGGTGCCACAAAGGTGCAACCGTGCCACTGATTCATGACGATGTTTAAGGTACGGTTACCTGTTCAGAAAATTAGCAATATTAGGCCCTGAAGTGAGAATTTATACCGACGGACGTATTTTAACGTAAGAAGTTTGTCATCAGCGTTCGCGGTACTGAGGAGCGGTAAACCGGTTTAGCAACTTCGCCAGCAAATCATGATTCCTACACATGTACTTACTCGTACGAAAACATATTTTGGTCGGTGGCTGACGCATCACGCGACGCTATTGGCGAACAGAAGGAAATAAAAATATTAATGACATCACCTTACAACAGCAGCTTAGTCTCTACTCTGTCCAAGAGGTCGCCACCGCTTTTCAGCCGTAGCGATCGGGAAAGGTGGTATATAATAAAATTTATTCAGGCTTTTAGCAGTCACTTAAGTTCGAGAGAGTTTTCTGCTAACATGGGGATTAAAACGTTCCTAACTAAATGCTTGGACAAAGAAGTGTTTTTGTCTTATCCGGAAATCCTGACGGAAGCCATTTTGGTCCTGTGGTTCGCGTGCCAAGTTTGTTTGAAATTTGGACTGCGAGTTCTGCCTGAATGGCACACCAGTCGCACAGATCCTGACGCTTACAATTCGTTCGATTACCTGCTCGAGCTGTTTGGACATGTAAGTGTCGTTGCATTAAATACTTCATATAACAACTATATTTAAATTCTGACCTTTACCAAAAGACTCGTATCTATGAGCAGGCCCTAATCAGTCTCAGTTAAAAGTATATGAATACTATTAAAATTATGTGGGGTTCGATCAGCACCGTAGTTTTTGTGTGTGTTATTTTTAATTTTACCGTATTCGCACACTTAGGTTGAATACGTACCTACTCGAGCAGCAGTGGTGATGGAATACCTAGTAGTGGTGGGGAAAATAATCGCACTGAATTGTTCGGCTGTAGTTCTGCATTAAGAAATACCTGTGTCTAATTCAGTTTAAAATAAATTTCTGATCTTCGGTTAATGTTAGTTACGTTTATACGGTATGACCAGACTTGTGAGTGTCTCCTGGGTTTATCTGCTCAATGAAATTAAACTAAACTTATACGTGCAAGTGAATTTATTTTGAGCAATCCTCTACCGCATTCAATTCTTCGAAGCTATAACATTTTACAGTTCACGCACGTTGGCGTTCTTTTACCGCATTTTTTTCGCTAAGTTTTATGGCTATTCAATGTCTTAAAAAATTGCAAAAAAGTGTTTAGGATTGGGCAAAAGCGATGTTTTTCGTGCAAGTATAGGAATTTGATAACATGTACAGGGTCAGTTTCTTTAACAGCTTGAATCTTGTTATTTATTGAATAGAGTAAAGTTCGTTTTGCTTACATATATTTCATGTTATTCCTGAGCAAGCATTAATGCACACCAGTACTTAGCGCAAGAATGTACAACTAAGCCTTATGGCAACTTCCGGCACGCAAAAACTGCCAGTCGATGTGGTCTGGGGGCTTAAAGCGCTGCCTCAGCACGTCTGCAGTAAAAAGCAGATGAATACTTAAGTGTTTCCTGAAAACGTTTTTTCCACTTTTGCAGAAGGTTAACGCCTGCTTCTGGGATGACGTCATGTCGGGTTGGATGCCACCGCATCCGCTCACCGTTAACCATTCGGTTTCTGACAATCTGGATGTGACCCATCCACCTGCATCGAACATTACCCTCGGTTACGTAATTGCCCTTGTGACCGTCATCCTTACGGCCGTCTTAAGTGTTTCGTTGTTATTCCTGGTATTGGTCAACCGCCACCGGCCGAGCTCCGTGCTGAAGGACCATCTGCGGATATGCCATGAATGGGCCGAGTTTTTGCAAGACTACAGTCGTGTGCTCGGCAAAATTGGTCTGCAGGCTTGCATGACGAACCTGCTGTTTGCGGTGTCGGGTGCCGTCATCTTCGTTATTTGTTACGTGGGCTGGATTATCTACAGCGCAGTGCCGGTGGTGCTGGTGGCAGGATTGGCTGTTGCATTGCCAATTGCTGTATGTGGCCCAACTGCGGTGTTCCCTTGTTGTATCTTCTTTGCTAACATATCGACCGTGTATTGCGCCGGCAGAATTTGGGGATTGTGGATGAATCAGACCTGTTTTGCGCTGATTAAAAAAGGAATTAGGTAAAAGTTTTTGCCGGCTGATATCTGTAGTCGCTGATATGAGTGAACCGTACCAGTGAAAAAAGAATACTTCTATTGCTTTTCTAACTGTTTAGCAAGCTAAACAGGCAACCTAATTTCAACATTCTTGTAATTTCGGGACCAGAAATATTGTGGCTGCAAAATATCAATCTTTAATTCAACCTTTCAGGAAATTAAACACCGCAAACCATCCCGCGAAACTTTCATCGATCGCTCCGTTAGTTAAAAAGGCATTCGCGAGACCAGACGAGTATCAACGACAAAGATACTGGGAAAAAGTTGCTCGCAGTTTCTTGGCCTTTTGGCTTGGATGCGTTGCCGTGTACCACAACGTCTGGCCATTGTATGAGCGATTTCCCACCGTCGTTCAATCGCGATACCGAGGCGCCAACTGGACATACTGGCATTTAGTCAATAGCACGGGAACTTGCTCCAAATATGGAACAGTACGCGCTCTTTTTTTGGCCAGTAATTTTGTACTAAGCGATATACAGGGAAGAGCAGGGCAACCCAAGTAAACCGATTCCGCCATTATAGCTACAGCCTCTGTATGTGTGCTTACGGGTATGAATTATGTAGTCTCTTCTGACTATGACGTACAATTATGTAGCTGAAATTTAGATTCTGGGATGCCGAAGTTAAGACTTTTTACTCGTAGAAAAATTCTAGACAGCAGTGTGTACTGATCTACCGCTAGAGGAAAAATAATTTTACGGATTTTTGCAGCACTTCGATCAAGAGACCGCGATGCTGTCATACTGGGTGGATCTCCAGTCTGAGGAACTGCTCGCATTTATTTACTACAACGTCTCCACTGCGGAGCTACTGTTCAGCTTCACCCCGCCCTTTTCACCGGCCGTCGGCTGGACGTTTATGGTGTGGTGTAGAGTGCTGTCTGGTGCTAGTGGCACACCACTAAACGTCTTGGAATCGACGGCAATAATCGTCATTGGCACCATCGACTTGGTCCTTCTTGGAGCGCTCGTATACCTCGTCATCCGGGCCTGCTATAATAAGTGGCGTCAGCATGTCGTTGCCCAACGAAAACTAAAAGCCACCGACAGGTCAAAGATTAACCATAACACGGGTAGTGCTGCGTGCATAACGTGGGGACTTTTCTATTCCAGAGATAATTCGTCGCAACCGTTAACTGTGAATCTTGCGGCCGCGGAAGCCGGTATACCGGGCAGTGCGCAATCCGCTCGCTTGCTTGTGCCGTCTAACAAGGCGATGGATAGTTTTACGCGATCCGATAATCCGCAAGAGCCCGTCATTGCCGATCACAAACTCCCGGAAGGGAAATCCGAACATGGTGCACGCGGGTCCATTGTATCTAAGGCCCTTAAGCCAGAAGGAGACAGGACAAGTTGCTTCTGTATTTGTGTGGTGATCGAAAACTTTTGGTTACTCGTACTGGTCGCTCACTGCTCGTCAATCTGCCTGGTGCTCCCGTTTTCCCTGGTGGGACTGTTCCTGCCAGAACGCCTGCAGCTGCCCGGTTTTCTGCTGCTGCTGACCATGTTCACTGTTTGGATGTACCACCTGCTGGTGAAATCAGCGTGGCACGCGTGTTGCTACATGCGATCCATTAAAACGGAGCACAAAGGCGGCTGCATTGGTGGTGTAAACAGCTTGGCGACGACCGAGTCCAAGCATCCACTGTTATCGCCCCCCATGGAATGAACCGGTAGTTCTTCGTCATAAAAATGGATTTTCGGGCGAGTTTACAAAACAGACAGCCGACATCCGATGAGTCTGGCCGGTCGCCTGGTTATCTTATTGATTGCAAGTTTACAATTTCTTTGATCTTCTAGATTCCCTTCTATACTTCCGCATAACACTGCGATTGTGCCAAATGCTTGATTCCGCTCACCGGAAACCTGGAGCCCATTGTCTGCCGCTTTTGCCCCGCCGACGAGCTTTCATCTCCATGATTTCCCCGCGTGACAAAAACCGTCGCTGCTTTCACATCCGATTCCATTATACGCCAATTGCATGGTCTCTCCTTGTGAGGGAGTTTAACCGGCCTGCTAGTACGAATTAAGAGAGGCCTGTTTAGTTCTGATGGAATTTACCCATTACACGATTACATTATATTTTATTACATAAGTAATTGTAACACCGAATCTGCCACATTTTAGCGAGTTCCATATAGATTACGCACAGAAGATTGGTATGACTGTTTTTCGTGCATTATTGATTCCGATACGAAACATATTATGAGATGCGTCATGGTATTTCCACACAATTTTCATTGCACGGGCTTTCGTTGATTGTTATTATCCAATAACATTTTCGCGTACGGTGTTTGCGACAAATTCTCTGTCCGGCAATCTGTCTTGTTTATCACGCACGCAAAATGTAGAACAGTATTGTACAGAGCAGCGGTTAATTGTTTGTCCTATCAACCTTATAATTATAGCAGTACACAAAGTAATAACACTGAGACCGGCAAATGTGTCAAAAAATCTTTTACAATACTGTCAGCAGCGGCATTGTTGTATAAAACTAATGTCAGCATTCGAAATGCTTATTTCAGAGGTTGGCACTGTTTTTAAATGCATAACTGGTGAACTCCGTCATTTGCAAAGAACCCGCAAACATCGTATTATGCAATGAAAATATACGGTACATTACACACAATATCGTATTGACAACACGCGATGTAAAGTACGCGGAGTACTGTTTACACCGCAGTTCAACGCCAGTTATTTATTTGTTGGAAAACTTGAGCTGCGAAATCGGTTGTGCCGTTGTGGAACCAAGAAGGAAGCCAAATTCGTGCTTAATGTGTGGGTTATGTTTTTCCAAAAACGATTTCCTCCTTCTTTTTTGGCCCAAAACTAAAGCCGAACGTACCCCTCATATCGCGTTTTAAAATTAAAAATAACCGGCTTCTGCATTTTAGTGCGACGTTGGAAACGGTTACCAAAGAACTTCAGTCAAACCGTACGTGTAGTCACGTGCACTAACACTAACCATACACTATATAACTTTGTAACAGTAAAGATTACCTTATATGTACAAGTGCGGCTGACTACGGCAACGACTTTGTGTACTTGTACTTCCGGTTTTGCTTTACGTGTTGGTAAGTAAGCGCACACGAACGCCGCTGTAACTTCAAAAAAGGCATTAGATTTGCACGGAAATTAAGGACTGTCGAAAAAAGTACCTTCAAAATATATTACCGGTAAGTCGCTTATTAAATAATGTGAAATTATTTGTTTATCAAAGGCAAATTTGAAATAACTAAATCGGCCGACATCATTCGCAACCCTTCAGTCCAGCTTTTTGTAAACCGGTAATGCTAGCCTGATGGAGTTAGTTTTATATGATCCGCAAAAGATGTCCAAAGGTAAATGATTTACAATATTAACTTCAGGGTCCTCGAAGTTTTGTTCGGTGTTTGCTAGGCGCTTCAGTCGGACATCGTTTCGCTCCTTTGCTCGGCACTTTCTGATGTACCGCTCCATGACGAATTTTAAGGTACTGTTTCTTAGTCATCAGTACAGCAATTTTTTAACACAAGGCGTTCTTCGTACAAAATAACAAAGGAGCGGCCGACCAAAAGTTCGACCGCGTAATCCAATAGGTAATCCATGCACGGGTGGTCGTACACGAATATTTCGGCTCGGATGCCGTAGTAAACAGCGACCGCCAATGGCAACCGGTTTAGCATCGCATGGCATCACCTCACATCAACAGCTGAGTCGCTACTCTGTTTTACGTAACTGTCGCTTTTCAGTAGTCGCGATCGGTGCATGGTGCTGTATTTTTTCGTGAGAAAAAGTGATCACGAAGTGAACGAAAAAGTGAACGAAGTGATCACTTCGTTTTAGAGTCGCTTGGTTCAATAAGTCTGTAATTGGGCAAAAATGGGGATAAAAAGGTGTTTGATTTATTTCCTGGACAAAGAAGTCCATGCATCTTATCCGGAAATTTTGACAGAATCGGCTGTGGTGCTGTGGTTTGCATGTCAAATTTGTTTAAAATTTGGACTGCGCGTTCTTCCGGAATGGCAAAACAGTCGGTTAGATCCCGATGATTATAACTACTTCGATTCGCTGCTCGAACTGTCTGGACATGTAAGTCTCGCTTGCATTAATACTTTATAATACATACTACTTATAACAATCCTGTGCAGTACTAGTAGAAGTATGCATCATTGTTAGGCATATACTTTATACAATTAAAGGCGGTGTGTTTAAATTTTGAAAACCTTTTCAAAGCTCAACAAAACAGAACTAACAGACTACTTGTTCTTTGTTAAAAAAGGGATGTGTCTATAGTCAATGGGAAAACGGAGTGCGTGCATAAACTAATTCAAAAGGGGTGCCTGTAGTAAAACGAGGTGCAGCGAAAGGGTATTTTTTCCTAATATTAATCCAATTACTTCGGTACAAATGCACGATGTGCCATTGTTACGTTCGACAGTAATTCTGTTTATTCAGCCTTGGAATCTGCAATATCTTATATATTATATACCTATGATTGTGTCATGTATGTACGGCATTACATCGGGTTGCGGTACAATATACAATTATTACCGTATAACTATTGAGTAGACATGTTTAAAAAATCTCGCTTGCGAATACGCAATTGTTGAAATTATAATAGAAAATGAGTGTTTCATATAAAACGAAGTACTCCCAAATTTGCGGTTAATAAAATGGGTCTGGGTGGCCCTTCTTTCTCTTGTTATACCAAAATTAAGTTAGGACTTTCCATAAGATTACCTCTTGTTGACTTTAGCGATTGTATGTCATTGATTTGCAGACGTGTTATGGTGTAACAAGACATTTTCTGCAGATATAATGTTTGCATGTGTATTAAAAGCTTTTTTCCAGAGTAGAATACCAGGAAATCTTAAAAATAAGAATACTGCTGGGAAGCTTGTAGGACATATTTGCATCTTTATTACTTCGACCGTTATACCAAACTCGAAGGTAGCGACAACGAGTGAAAGTGTGTCTCACTTCTTCTCACTGTTTTTTTCCCGGTGATTTATTCGGTGGGTTGAACAGAATTCTATATAGTTATGCAAATTTGCATTCCTAGAGCGTGAGAAGGTGGTGTCGGAGCAAATAATCGCGGCGATTTTGGGTAGTAAAACGACTGACATTGATTATGAGAAGTTATTCTTGTCTTCCGCCTTGCCTGGACAATGTGTCATTGCGAGAGAGCGTCAGATCATTGAGTCATTTCATTCTGGCTGTGCATAAAATGAAAGATTCCACTTTTTAGTATCCATTTTATGAAACTAAGATCAAAGGGCAGCTTTTGGGACTTGGTACTATTTTGCTTTTCCAATTTTATCCTTTGATCCATTATCGTAATCTTGTTGATGCGACAACCTATCTTTGTTCATTACAAGTGAAATTAAGGCTTTGCTTCGCTTCAAGCCTCACTCCTTCGAGACACAAGGGCCGATCGTATACTGTACAATAGAGCACAGCTATTTACCTGGGCTGACGATAATTATAGTAATTGTGTTATTTGCTTATCGGGTGAAATAAGGCGACCGATAAATAAGGCGACAAACATGACAGAGACAGAGAAAGACAAAAAGCAAAAGCCGCCCAGTGGTTAATCTTTATTGCTGGTCAAGAATCAGTGTAAAATTTAACCGATAAAAAACTAAAATTAGCTGATAACAATTTTCCAACACTGCACTCACTGATTTAGCAGCTGGGCTGGTGCACGAATATGGCAATCACTTAAAACCACTTTATCAGCGTTCACGTCGTATTCTCTTGTGCCCTTTTGTAGAAAGTTAACGCCTGCTTTTGGGATGACGTCATGTCGGGATGGATACGCCCGCATCCGCTCATCGTTAACCAGTCGGCACTGGCTGGACTTGATGTGGTGGTCCCTCCGAAATTGACCCGGATCCTTGTTACGTGGCCACCTGGATGACCGTTCTCATTACGGCCACTTTAAGCGTCTCACTGGTTATACTGGTATGCGCCAACCGCCATTGGACATCTCTGGTATCGAAGCACCAAATGTCGCACTGCCGTGAACTAGCGATGTGGATCCTGACGCAAAGCCGGGTGGCCGCCGAGTACTACCTGCCACTGGATATAGTGGGCATCTTATGCGTGGCAATCATGGCCGGCATCTTTTGTCTTCCGTTTGCGAATTGTATGGTCTTGACCGCCGCACCGGTTATGTGTCTGGCATGGAAAGCAGTTAGGCTGGCAGTTACGGTATTTTGTCCGTCCGCGGTGCACGCGCGCTGTAACGCCAACACTGAATTGCCCGCTTACATCATGATTTCCATGTATGCGCTGACCAGCGCCTTCAGCTTCCTCATTTATTACGCGATTTGGATACTATTCAGCGGAGTGTCGGTGGTTCTCCTGGCGTGGATGGCAGTTGCCTCCCCCTGATATGGGATGTGACAGTTTGTGATCCGTTCGCTACTTCGTATATAGCTGGATGTTCAGAAGCAGCGGGATCGGCTGCAGAAGATGCCGAACTGCGGAAGCGAAATCTCTATTCCGAACTCACTGATCGGTATTTTTCCAACCAGTGGCCCTCGAAACTATGGGAAGTTGCGGCGAAAGTACACGTCAGTTCATCAGTGAAGTCGGCCGGCGTATCAAACAGCAAACAGGAGATGCGCGCGCTACTCAATATTTGTGGCAACGTATAAGCGTAGAAATTCAGCGCGGAAATGCGGCTTCTGTCCTGGGGATCGTCGAATGTTCTCGACAGTTAGAAGAGTTGTTTTACTTGTTCTAATTATTGGGTTGCAAAGTTAAATTTAAATGGCATTGGCTTGTACAAGTTGAAATAAAGTTTTCGTAAGATCTAGAACACTAAGAGCAAACAAGGAAACAACAGGCCAGGAAACAACAAACTGCGCGCTATGTCATCATGCTCTTTTGCAGAACGTCAACGCTTGCTTCTGGGATGGCGTCATGTCGGGATGGATGCATCGCCTCCGGTCGCCTTCAACCGTTCCGAATTGGCTGGGTTGGTTGTGCCAGATCCACCTTCGTCGCTCCGAATCCTCGGTTATGTGGCCACCTGGGCGACCGTTGTCCTTACGTCCATCTTAAGGCCTCGTCCCGAATTTAAAGCGAATCTCGTTGCGATACAGAAAATCCACCTCGCGAGGTGGCTTCGCGTACCGTATCTGTAGGCGTGGCCACTGCATACAGCCACCTCGTGCGGTTGAGCAACCGTACCATAGCGAGATTCGCTTTGAATTCGGGACAAGGCCTAAGCGTCTCGCTGGTTTTCCTGGAGTGCGCCAATCGCCTCTGGACGTCTCCCGTATCGCAGCACCAAATGTCGTACTGTCGTGAATTAGCGGCGTGGATCCTAAAGCGGAGTGTGGTTGCCGCAGAGCACTGGCTGCCATTGGATATAATGCTCTTCGTATGCGCGGCAGGCATTTGCATTGATTATACGAATTATATGGCCGCCACCGCCGTAGCGGCGGTGGTCACGGTATGGGAGGCAGTCAGATGGGTAGTTCCAGTAGTTGATCCGTCCGTGGTGCAACCGTGCTGTAAAGCCAACACTCGGATGCCCACTTACATCATGATAATGTTGTAGCGGTGAACAGTGCTGTCAGTTTCTTCCTTTACTACGGTATTTGGATATTTCTCAGCGCACTACCAGTGGTACTTCTAGCGTGGACGGCAGTTGTACTGGCCATCACTCTATGTGGCAGGTCGGCGGTGTTTCCTGGGTGCATTCTCTTCGCAACAATTTTGAGCGTTTACTGTGCTGGCAGAATTTGGGGGTTGTGGATGGATGGCACCTATTTTGCGCTGATTAAAAAAGCAATCAGGTAAAGAAGTTTTGCCAGTTGGCCTGCAACTGCAAACGGCTTCGAAATAGTGTATTTACTTTTACGAATAATAATACACCGAATATTTTCTGATTTTACGAATGATATAAGAATGCTATTACTATTTTTATTGTTATACGAATATGAATTATACAAGAAACAGCCTCGGCTTCGCCTCCGCCTTTCTTCTGATCCGCGGCCGGTTTGAATGGAGAGTTCGTTTAGTTCATTAGTAAATGTTTTAACAGCCTTAGCAGTTATTGTAAAACGTATTGAGGAAAGACTCTAGATTAGATTACTGATGTCTCCTACCACAAAATTATAAGTTGAACCACGCATGGACTGGACAGTAGTGGAAGCTCGGTCACTCTTTCATCTTGTAGAGATTCTTCTCACTGGTCAGTGGTGGTAGCTCTGTCACTCACTCTTCTGAAGTTTCTGCTCAGTGGGCAGGGATGGTGGTTCGGTCACTCACTCGCCTAGCGATTTTTCTCGCAATGGTGGTAGCTCGGTCACCTACTGATCTAGAGATTGTGCTCAGTGCCCTGTGATGGTAACCTGTCTTCTGATTAATTACTGTAGTGACGGTCACAGGTTAGACCACAGAGTAAGTTTACCGGAGAAATGGACCATGTATATACCTACGCTGCACGGGCAAAATTCACGATATTTTACCAGCAAATTAAAATCGGCATTCCTTGAACGACATTCATGTTTTAAAACTTTATTCGACTAATTATTAATATCTAAAATCAAAAATTAACTATTAATCAGCAGAAGGCTGGAAAGTAATGCATACAGAGGACCAGAGGTAACAGAGCTCTATATACCATGCTGGTTTGTTGTGGTTTGTGGTGTGCCCCTGCGGGGGGGGGGGAGCGCTTTGTGTTCAGCGTTGGGATTGACGGTGGATTTGTTTACAAGAGGGGCGCAGAAAGTGTTGATGATTTCAGAGCTCTGATGATAAGGAAAATATGGTGAACAAGTAGTTAAAATTACATGGACATTTGCTGTCTGAAATGTGAAAGGTAAGATGGATTCAAGCCGTTAAGTGTGCCCGTACAGCGTAGGTATATCCACTGCACATCTTTCCGGTAAACTTACTCTGTGGTCTAACTTGTAAACGTCGCTACAGTAACCCAGTCTTCTGATTTTTCGTACTGAAGAGGGTTGGTAATTCGGTCACTCACTCATCACTGACGTGTTTGGTGAAAATTTGCATTGTTGATTAGGTGGGACGTATTTCGAGTTCAGCTTGTTCAGAACGCTTGGAGAAATACGAGAACTTTTTCTTTTTTGCGTATTTAGTTTCGAACAGAAGTTAAAAATTATGGGGAGCCAGAGAGTAGCCAAATGCAGCTCTAGTAAATGAGTAACAGCAGATGAGTAAATGCAGCTCTAGTGTTTGAATGAGTACAATTTATTTATTTTTCGGTTTATTTGTCAATTTGTGTTTTGAGTTGTATCCAGGCAAATTTTTTCAAATCCCCAAGGCCACCTTGAAAGTGGGTTGGATCGTTTGCGGCGTCGTGCCGGCACGATTCTGGCCGAACGAATTTATAAACGAAAGTCATGCGAGTCAGTTTTAGACCGAGGCCGATCTGTTGGCGTTGTCGGTTTTTAAAAAAATCGTTTTGATTATTGAGATCGAAAACTATGGGGTCCCGCGCGTAGTATAGATCTTGTGCTTAATTAATAATATCGTTTGTTATAAGTTTATGTCACTTTATCGTTTAAATAAGCTATTTACGTAAGTTCTGCATGTGCAAAAATGCTAAATTTCGCTGAAAATGACTTTTTTCTTTTAATTCAACTTACAGCAAACTAATTGCTACGAAATCCGCCGCAAAACAGTTATCGACAGATCCTTCACGAAAGACGGTTACGAACGCAGACAAGGGCCAAAAACCAGGACACTGGGAAAACACAGCTCGTAGCTTGACAGCCTTCGCTCTTGGATGCATGGCCGTCTATTACAACGTCTGTGCATTGTTTTCGCGATTTCCCGTTGTCAGCCAGTGGCAAAGTAACACCGGAAACGCCAACTGGACGTATTGGTCGGTTGTCAATTCGACCGGGACCTGCAGCAAAGATGGAACTGTATGCACTCGGGTTTTTGCAACCAATGCTTCTCATTTACACCCTAATATTACTAATAATTTGTTTTGGTAATGTCATGGCTGACATCTTTATTTAGCCAAGATGCCGGGCTTCGAAACTGCAAAACCTATTAGAAAAATAATGAAATCACTTTTAAGTAATTTTTGACATACCGTATCGTGGTGCGCTTATTTAAATATTTGATTGGAATTTTCCGCTATTAAACCGTAGATACATATTCAAGAACTGCAATGCTGCTCTTGTGGACTGGAAAGTTTTTAAAACCTTTTGAAATAAATCGCCACGGGAAAGAAAAAGTAAACGTTTGCTTTTTTCAGAACTTCTGTCAAGAAACGACGATGTTGTCGTACTGGATCGATCTGCAGTCGGAGGAGCTGCACGCAGCATCTGCTGCCAATGTCACCAATGCGGAGCACTGGCTAGCTTCACCCCGTCCTTCTCAGCCGCCGTTGGCTGGATGTTTCTCGGGTGGTGTGGAGGATTGACCGGGATTAGTCGCGTACCGTTTTGCGCCTTCCGGTACCTGGAAAAGGTCGTCGTTGCCGGCATCATCCTGGTCATAGGCGGACTGCTCGTTCGTGACTGTATACGTTTCTGCTACAACAAATGGCGTCGGCGTGGCGTATTACAGCGAAGCATGGACGCCGCCGACAGGTTAGCAATAACGTACCGCACCGTGTTTTCTGCATTATTAATATTGCTACGACTTACACAATGATTTTGCAGGATTGATTGGGCAATTCTTGTTAATAAAGATTTCCTTGAAACGTTGCTGTATTTACTCTGTATATACGGCACAATGCACATACTGTTCCCTAACCCTGCACTTGAAGGAAATTTGTGCGCTATGAGCGGCACGGTGCTGTATAGCCGGATAAACGTTCAGCCAATTCACGTTCTAACATGCACTAACTGCAAGCCGTGTATGTGAATGGTGAATGCGGTCGTACAAGTGCGTGTGGCTGCACTGTACAAATTTCCTTCGAGTGCAGGGTTAGGGTACAGTAACTGAAGAAAACCAATCTACAACAATTTAGATTAGTAGCAGTTTCCTATAGCTTTATTATTTCGGTAATTTAACAATTCATTTTTAAATTTAGCAAAAATTGTCAAAAAAGTTATTTTTGGTCTCGTTTGGTACCACAAACTACAGACGTACATGCACATGCATATGGTACTGTACATACTGTAAATGCATATGGTACCATTTATTTCCCTCAGAGGGCAAGAAAACTCTCGCGCAGTTAAGCTACGTGCCTGGAATACGTCCCTTTTTGTTGTTTTAGGGACAAATCGTGGAGACCGTTAACTGCAGACCCGGCAATGGAGGTCGAGACCGGAAATGATGTCACCAACGAGAAAATTCCAGGAGTGAAAGCCAGACCCGGCGCGCACGTGATCATTGTGTGTGCAGCCAAAACTTCCACTCCGAAAAACGCAGACCCGACACTGCCGACAGCATCCTTGTGTTTGTGCAACAGACTGCGTTAGTGTGTACAGTATACGAGGGGCTAACTGGTAAGCCGTATTTGGCTATTCTTGCTGGCCGCCCATTGCCCGTTAGTCGGCTTATTGCTCTCCTATTCCCTGGTGGGACTGTTCTTGCCCGAATGCCCGGCCTCCTCCTGCTGCTGACTGTGTACACGGTTTGGATGTACTTCTGGTTGATGAAGTCGGCGCGGCAGATGTGGCGAATTGTGCGATCCGGCAGAAAGAAGTACAGAAACTGTGACGATGGATTGGGAGACGGCTTTGTGGCGAACCCGCTCAAGCGTCCTGCATTAGAAACGCTTTACATCAAATGATTCAGTTGGTTTCCGGTTCCATTCGGTTTCCAATGCTTTTGCGTTGTCCGACACCATTATTATTACTAATTATTAATTAGGCTGTTAGGCATGATGTCATAAGGAAGTCATTAATTTCCGCTTGTTAATTGTTATACAATGGTTCAATCCCCGGCTCTTTCAGACTAAAGGTTAGCAAATGGCTACGTCCACATCTTAAAGATTAAGCGTATCAGCACATAAAAACTGAGAATTATTATAACATGAACTCGTATCGGAAGGCTTCGTAAAATACGTACAAAGATGCTTTCGTTGATTCGGCAACAGCCACTTCACATAAATAAAAGCCAACAACAAAATATTTTAAAATTCAAATGCTGAAACAACAGCCAAGGTGGAAAAAATTCTGTGAAATCGTGGGTTGCGTCTTCAGTGTTTCTATAAAAGCGGCAGTATTGTTTCAGTAATGCCGCAATTTTCAATCGTATGAAATTTTCAGATTGGTTTGCTCACTTTGCTGGGCAGAGAAGCTGACACTGTCCACACCCGGCCGCTGGGAATCTCAGGGCTTTATTTTAACTTTTATTTTAACGAGAAGGGTCAGAAAAAATCATTTCCGGAATTTTCTTATTAGTTTGGCCTAATTTCGCCACTGCAAACGGAGTCACATGTCATCGGGCACAATGATTATGGATACGGATTACATGTACTTGTACTTTTTTTTATTGCGGCCTCATAAAGAGGTTGTGAAATTCCGTAACAGTGAAACTGACTGCACCGGTAAAGGATAATAATGGGACCAGGTGAATTATACTAACATTTTACTCCACAGAAGAATCCAGTAGGATACGTTAGACATGCGTAGAGGGCTTATGGCGATACCCTCATTCCTGAAGCATTTTTTTAAGAACTCTTTTATATCACTCCCCATTTTGCTCACAACTGGAGTAATATCCTTTCTACGGGTGGAAGAGGGAATTTAAGTTCACAACATTACACTAACAACAGCTACAGTATCTGGCAACTATCTGCGGTATTCAAAATGGATTCGAAAGGACGTCACAACCGATATTTACATACTCGTATTTAGGTTTTTTAACAGTCACAGCCAACTTGTACGGTGTGCCTGTATGTCATCTCGATTAAAGGCGAACTGGTGGTCGAATTTCGTGAAAATTGGCAGAAAGCGTTCTTATTACTCTGTACAATAGCGAGGCGGGCTTCGAAGATGGGCATGATGCTGCCACCGGAAACGGGTTTATTCCTTACTTTTAAAACATCAATGTCTATGTCGACATAATCCATAGACTAAGTGGATTAGTGTAACAAAATCCAAATTTTACTGTGCTGCCTGTATGCAAGCCGAATCCGTATCCGTTGTCTGTCAGACAGACTTCGTACGTCGAATGTATGTCGCCAGAGTCCATGCTTTCCGAAGTATAATGAATACATTATAATATCCATAAACTTTCATACAGGTGCCTTTGTATACAATAATATATTGCCGCCTGCCGGTACAACCGTAAAACAAGCATGAATACGAGAATAAATGCGAATGAAACGTGCGTTTGCCATACTATATGTACATGGAACATGTTATATTACATATACCGTACGATAGGCTAAGATTATTTTTTTTCCTGTTGAAAGAACCTATATGTAGAGTAAATTTCATTCAACACGTCAATAAAAATTAGTGTAATAGCTGATCTGTAAAGTGTCATGCGTACAATATATTAATTTACGCTGTCTAAGTCATGTAACTGCCTAGCGAAGTATTAAAGTGATGCAGTTAATCTTCTTAATTCGTACAAGTACGGCAAACTGCGGCAACGAAATTTTTAAGCAGATATGAAATTTGCATGGAATTATGGACCGACGAAAAATGATTTCGGTAAATCTGGCTTTCGTCCTCTGTAACTTGTTAATTTGTAAAAGTTACTCTAGGTGCTCATAATACTGTATGTAGGTGCATATGTTCAAAATGTTGTCCCGGTAAATCGCTTTAATAAAAAATGCAAAAAGTATTTGTTTGTCAAAAGAAATATGCAGTCGATCGTATCCGCACGCAGTTCCCAGTCCTTGCGTACAACTTTTCGGAAACCGGAAGCGTTAGTTTGCTGAGTTCCATTTTATTGGATGGCCCGCAAAGGGGATCCAAAGGTAAACCGTTTTAAAAATTTAAAAGAAATGCTAACTTTAGTTCCTCGAAGTTTTGTGCGATGCTGTCTGGGCGCTTTAGTCGGCATCATTCCGGTCCTTAGTACTCCTTGATATACTTGTTCTATGGCGAATTTTTAACGTACTTTAAGCAGGGCGCAATCCGAGGGAAACCGAGAAAAGGCTGAAAAAGGCGCCGATGGGGAAATCGAACCCCGGCTACGTCGTTAGATCCGCGTAGGCAGTACCACTGCACCACGGCGCAATACGTTGAAATCATTTGAAAGATTTTGTCGCTGTACGTGAGCCGCTTCTCCGCTCACAGTACGATTATTTAGTCAGCATTATAGTAATACTGACCCTCGAAATGCGATTCAATAAGGGCGGCCGATTTTTAGCACAAGGCAGCCCAGCGTTCTCAGTACATAGCAACAAAGGGCGAGAAACCCAGGAAATTGGTGATTCATGTACGGGGAGTGATACTCGTACATGTTCCGGTCGGTTGCCGTCGGAAACAGCTGAGCCAGATTTTGCATGACATCAGTCTAAAACAAACTGCTGAGTGTCTACTTTGTTTTAGAGTGCTGTCGCTTTTCCGTAGTCGCGAATCCCGCGATCGATGAATACTGCGGCATTTTACTCACTTCGCTGTTGAGGTTGCTTGGCCTCTTAAAATTCTGTTAAAATGGGGATAAAAAGGTGTTTAATTTATTCCTTGGACAAAGAAATCCATGCGTCCTATCCGGAAATTTTGACGGAATCGGCTTTGGTGCTATGGTTCGCCTGTCAGATTTGTTTGAAATTTGGACTACACGTTTTTTCTGATTGGCGAACCAGTCGGTTAGATCCTGATGATTACAACTACTTCGATTCCCTGCTCGAACTGTCTGGACATGTGAGTTTTTGCTTGCACGACGTGATTTATATAACAATCCTGTTCAATATTGTGACCTTTTATTACGCGTATACCTATATAATAAAACTAAGCGCAGTGCAAATGCACGATAAAGAATGTTAACCTGCTAATACCTAGCGTGAATAAATATAAGAATTAATTTTAAAAATGTGTACGAAAAGTACTGCACTCACAACGGCACCGCTTACTAAAGGTATCATATAGTGCAGTGCTGTAAAATACTTATATCTTGTTATGGTTACTTACTTATCAGCAACAGGCTCATAAGTACTGAGAAGGTTCTACTTATAGTATGAAATTGATTGAGGATAAGCTTTATACGGTGAGTACATCATCCTGCGGCTTGTCATACCGTTATTCAAGACCCATCATTGCAGCAGAATAGTTCTTGGCAGAGATAAATATGTAAACAAAACTTTTCCGCCACTATGGTGCGTAAAAACTGGCAACCGCCTCGATGTATGAGTTTGGTGTAATTGAGTACAAAGAATAGAGATTTTGACAAAGAATAATGTACTGTGATGTCGCAGCAAATAAAAATAAAGACGCTAAACAAACGAGTTACCTAACAAATTTATTTTCCCGCATGCTACACCAGGGAAAAACGTCCAATTGGAATTTACATTTTTTTGCGTGGCTTATTAGGGAAAGTACAAACATAGCTAGAAAATATTGAATCCAAATTTAAGATCTCGCCTTATGTTTGGAGGTGATAAAATGAGAAATAGATAAATACGTGCGTAATGCGTAAATACAGTACAATAGATAAAAAGTGCGTAATAAAATGTATGTAGTAGTGTGGGATGACAAAATATTTAACGGTCCCTTCAAACACTCCATGAATTTAGCAGCTTAGATTACCTTTTAGATTACCCATGCAGCTTAGGTTACCTTTTTACGAATTTTATATAGATATCTGTACTTCTATACCACGCAAGCACGCTTTACCTATGTACCGGTACACGGTTACGGTGTATTTAGACTGCTATATATTCCGTCTATTCGCGCAAGATTCCGCAATATTATGTATGTACAGCCATAACAGCATGTTGTTGTACAGTATAACACTGCTAGACATGTTAAAAATAGCACATTTATTGCATGTGAGTAATTTTTGTGAGGTACCTGTACAACAGAAAAATGAATGTTTTATATGGAACACAGTTCTCTCACGTTTGCTGTTGATACAATAGGCCCTACTGTTCCCTCTTTTTTTTTATACCAAAGTTAGGCTGATTTCCCATAAAATTTGATATTGTTGATTTTGGCGAGATGCAAAAGCACATATTCTCCAGATTTAACTGTTTGCTTGTTCATTGGAAAAGTTTGTTTCGGGGTAGAGTACTATAAAATCTTAAAAATGAAATCGTTGCTGAGAAACCGTAGGCTAGACTTGCATCGTTATTCCTTCGACTGTTGCACCACACCCAGAATCGAACCGCACTTGTGACAAGGAGTGGCAGTGCCGGCACTGATTTCTTCTCAGACGGTATACTGAACAGAATTAAAAATAGTTATGCAAAGTTGGATTCTCAGAACGTGAGACGGTGGCAAAACATCGCAGCGATTTCCGATCCTGTTCTTGCTGACGAATCAACCTAACCTTCAAGTCTCATTACTCAGTAGTTAGAGAGGTTATTTTTATCTTCCGCCTTGGGTGGACTATGTGCCGTTGCGAGAGGACGTTAAATCAATAAATTGTTCCAATGTCGTTGTGCATAAACTGCATGAAAATTTTAATCAAAATTTGTTTTATACCATCCGATTTACGAAAAGTACTGTAGAACCACGTGCTTGATTTTCTAACTTCGCATTTTGTTGCAATACTTAGTATGATTTTTTAGATGCCACAACCTATCATTGTTTGTAGCAACCGAAAATGAAGCATCGCTTACGCACTTCGTCGCAAACAAAACGAAGCGAAGCATTACATACTGCAGCGCAACTATTCCACTTGGCTGATGATATAATATATTATATATTTACTTTATGGAATAGCAAACTGATCTAGTGAAGAAAGGAAGGAATCACTGAGCATTTTGTCCGTGTTCACGTCGTAATCTATTGTAATCTTTTGCAGAAGGTTAACGCTTGCTTCTGGGATGACGTCATGTCGGGCTGGATGCAACCGCATCCGCTCACCGTTAACCAATCGGCTTTGGTTGGACTGGTTGTGGCTGTCCCTCCGAAATTGACCATATTCTTGGGTTTCACAGCCACCTGGTTGACCGTTGTCCTTACGGCTATCTTAAGCATCTCACTGGTTATCCTGGTAAGCGCCAACCGCCTCTGGACGTCCCCCGTATCAAAGGACCAAATGTCGCACTGCTTTGAACTGGCGGCCTTCATCCAAGAGCAGAGCCGGATTGCCGCCATAATGCATATCCCACTGGACATAATGATGTTGCTTTATGCGGTGGCCGTAACCGGCCTCTTCTTTCTTCGCTTTGCTAACTGCATGGTCATCAGCGCCGTACTGGCGGTGTGTGTTTCATGGCTAGCAGTTAGATTGATAATTACTGTACTTGATCCATCCGCGGTGCAGTCGTGCTGTAACGTTAACACTAAAATGTCCTCTTACGTCATGATCTTCATGTATGCGATGACCAGCGCCTTTAGCTTCACTATTTACTATGGTATTTGGATATTATTCAGCGCAGTGCCGGTGGTTCTTCTGGCGTGGATGGCCGTTGTACTGGCCATAGCTGTTTGTGGCCCGTCCGCGGTGTTCCCCGGTTGTATTTTCTTCGCTGCCAGTTTGACCGCTTATTGCGCCGGCAGAATTTGGGGATTGTGGATGAATGACACCTACTACGCACAGATTAGAAAGGGAATCAGGTGAGAAATTTTCGCCGGTTGATTTCTGTAGCTTTCTATCTGCTACGAAGAGGTTTACGAAAGAAAAGGACAACGTAGGCTGAATAAAATAAATGCTTCGTTTTAGCGCTTTTTTGCACAAACAAGCTTTTGTCCGTGCGAACCCAGTAGTACCGATAGCCATCTAAGCGCATCGAGTGCAAGTACTCTTTTTGTGGCACTGGTTTCTGCTGATTTTAATAACTATTAATTTTATGGATCGACTGATTGATTTCCACTTTTTTATTCTCCATCATAATTATTGCATTACTACATCATTAATATGATGTGTTAGTACTGTTAACAATAATATTAGAAACTGGGTTTTTAAACTAAATAACCCATTTCCTCCAAGAGGTCAAGCCAGTTTTATGCACTGAAAATGGCGAAAACATTTTTATACCGCAATTTGGCTTCCTTACAGGACGTTGACTGCGGGGAGATTCTCCGCGAAATCTTTATCCATGGATCCTTCACCGAAAAAGGCGTTCGCAGGAACGGGCGAGATTCAGAAGGCAGGACCCTGGAAAAACGCCTGCTGCAGCTTTGTAGCCTTTGCTCTTGGGTGCATTGGCGTCTATTACAATGTCTGGTCATTGTATCAGCTGTTCCCCGTCGTCAATCAATGGCAAAGCAACACCGGAAGCGCCAACTGGACGTACTGGCATTGTGTCAACACGACGGGAACTTGCAGCAAGCATGCTACTGTGCGTGACTGTTATTTTGAAGTGAATACTCCACGTAACGTGGAATTTGAATTAAGACCTACGAACAGCTTAGCAAGCGGCCTCTGAAGCTGCCGAAGTTGCAGATTCCATTATCGAATATAACGAAAATACTTTTACTTATCATTGTTGGAGAATTTTGGTTTTTTATTACATATTTGTTTCGCTGGTAAACTACGGTATACTCGTAAATAGCGTTTTTGTGAAGAACAAATGTTTTTACCGCGTCTTCAAATGATTTAACAAAGCAGAAAAAATGTTCAATATGTTCTACAGGGATTCGAGCAAGGCACCGCAATGCTGTCCTACTGGGTGGATCTGCAGACCGAGGAGCTGCGCTCGATGCATTGCAGCAATTCTGAGCTGCTGGCCAACTTCACCCCGTCCTTTCCATCCGGCACTGGCTGGGCGTTTTTGGGGTGGTGTGCAGGGCTGTCAGGCGCCAGTGGGATACCCTTTACGGCCTTGCAATACGCGGAAGCATACATCGTTACCATTATCCTCGTGGTCATCGGCGGACTGCTCGTTCGTGATGGCGTCCGTATCTGCTATAACAAGTGGCATCAGCGTGTCGTCAACGACGAAAGTCTTGATTTCGACGACAGGTTAATGACTACCTTTGACATAGACCAATTTTTGGATGAACCTGTAACATGAATTTCGGATTATTAGTGAAAAACCATGATTTTATGACAATTTTCCATTTGCAACGCATTGTCCGTTATTTAGGTTTCGGAAAAACTTATTTTCAGATTTTCTTGAAACGCTATCGTAAATGACATTACAAAACCTAAGAAGAAGAATCGGTATGAAATTTGCCTCAGTGCATTTTCCTGACACTTTGTATAAATCTATACATTTAGTTGAAAATGTATTTTTCGAATTTAACGAAAACCCTCTTGAAGCGGGTAACAATTATCTTTAGACGACAACAGCACTAATACGGGAGTGAGTATGGGTACTGGAAAGTGACGACCCTGTTTATTATTTCAGCGATAAATCTTCGAAGCCGGTAACGTTACCTGTGGACCTTGCGGCAGAGGAGACCGGTACACCGGACAGTTCGCCCTTAGATCATTTCCCTGCACCAACTCAAGCGGAGATCTGCACAGAGCCATGCTATCATTCGCACGGGAACGATATGGCCAAACAGGAGATCCCGGGAGAAAAATTAATGGACTTAGGCGCGCACGTGTCTATTGTGTGCGTACCCAAGGCTCTGACGTCACAACCCACATCATCCTGCTTTTGCAAGAGACTGCGCTACTGCGTGTTTGAGGGAGTGAACGGTGTGTGGTTATTCTTACTGGCCATCCACTGCCCGCTAATCGGCTTACTGCTGCCGTATTCCCTGGGGGGATTATTCTTGCCTGAACAGTTGCACTGCCCGGTCTTCTTCTGCTGTTGAGCGCGTACACTGTTTGGATGTATCTCTGGCTGATAGAGTTTCTGCGGCAGATGTGGAGCGTCGTGCGATCCGGGAAAAAAAAGTACAGAGACTGCGATGCTCAGTGTGGAGACGGCATCGCAGCGGACAAGGCCAAGCGTCAAACGGCGGAAGCGCTCTGCATCAAATGATTCGGTTATTGCTCGGTTCTGAGTACATTTGCGGCATCAGGCAGACGATTATTGCCGTAAGAAAGGATTAAGCAACCGTTGATAAATAGATCGAATGATAAATTTCTAGCATTGAGATTAAGCAAGTCGGCTTATTCTGAAAGGCATAAAAGTATGAACCTTGCAATATTTTTTATTATGATTTCTAAATACACGGAAGTTAATGCCCGGGTAGGCCGTAAGGGCAAGTTGGTATACAGTAAAGGTCTTGATTTTTGTATCTTGAATTTTGGAAAATCAGAAATTGCTTACCGTATCTGCAATAATTCTGCCCGATGCCGTACAACGCCGCCCGCATTATTAGCTCGTAATGTAACCTCGCTCGAAGTGATCACTGCGTTTAGCTCCCAGGCTGCCCATCTGTAGCAAAGAGTACCGCGATCCCTGGCTGTACGTTCAGAAATAATTGAGTGTTGCAGTTGACAAATGCCATTCCAACGTCATACACGGAAACCAGAAAAACGAATTTTTGAAATTTTCCTTTCACATTTATTTTACCAAAAACCAGATCTTACATCCAACGGCTTCTATGAGGGCCGAGCGGTGACCTATAGTAGACAGTACAGCTTTGGCAAAACAACAGCAATATTTCGAGCGAGTGTACATTGCAAACTGCCAATATATAGATACTACAGTACCTAAATAAGCAGAACCCAGAAAACATCGGCCGCCGGATCATCATGTCGATTGAAATTTCAAAAACTCCTTCGGAATTCGGATTATCTCCATAATGTCATCCGCTTGCGGCCTTAATTACATACACCACGTTCGTGACTAAGGAATCCGACCGTACACCGAATCATCCAAAGCTTTTCTTTCATGTTGTGCGATGATCTGCTTGTCACTTGCGGAAGGGCAGGTATACCCGGCTAAACCGCTGCTGCTTTCACGTCCGACAACCGGCTTTTTTTATAGTGATAGCCTGTGCGCCTGTGCTACATTTTGTGCAAGATTGGGACATGTGTAAATAACGATAATTCATCATTCAACACAGAATCTCATCCCGCCTTCGCGTCTTCGTTTCTTCTTCATTTGTATAAAAAGTAACTGTTGGTTCGCGCATCTTAAATTACGTATTAAATTCATGATTAGTTTTATAACTCATTCGTGTCAAATGCAGTGTTTAATGCAAGTTTTCAGTTGGCTGTAAAAAATGTTTGAAGTCCAGATATTTGTTTTTTACAGTTGTCTGGTCTGGTAAACAATATTGTTGGCTGACGAAAGTGACGATTAGTCGGCTCGATAAATTAGTCAAAACATAGAGAAATCAGAATGACACACAATGCAAAGGTGCAGCAGCTTAGGTGCTAATATGTACCTGAATACCGGCAGTCGTTGCTGTTGTCGGAAGTTGTAATTATCCTACATTATTTTATCCTACATGCAGATACACCACATTTACACGATGCACATGCTTAATCTCTCGTATTTCTACTCCAGTTAAGTAGCATTGACCCGTTAAATACATCGTCCAGTGAACTAACCGTCGTCCAATACCGTCCAGTAATCCACTACCTATATCGTCCAAATCCATCCAACACTCAGTTTCCCAAATCCATTGGTGTAGTACAGATATCTGTACAACGAAGCACACGAAAACTATGTTGTTTATTTGTATTTCGTACGTAGAATACCGCGTATCGGTCGGTTTAAGCTTGTTTCCGTATGACGTAGCTGGGCATTTGCTGGAAACGTTCAATTATCATTTAATATACGGTGTAACGAATTTCGACATTTCGCAAAGAAACATGCCACGAAATACTCTAAATGTGGTTGTTATTTTTGTAGGTAGTTATCGTTTCAAGAGTTTGTTTCACGATTAATAGAACACAAATTCAACTAGGAAACATGACAAATTACCATGCACTCCAAATCTGTCATTTACCCTGGATTTTTGGAAATTTTGGAATTATGGGAATCATCGTGCACGACAGTGCGAGTGGATTTCGGCCACTTCCGGTACAATAATATGACTGTATGAGTGATATTATGTTATTTATACTTTTAATCGGGATCATCCAGTACACAGTCCAATGTATGAGTGATGTAAACAGAGGCAGTGAATTTCACAATTGCGTATGCTGCAGCTTGCATTGGCAATGTATTTTCTAAAGTGATGCTCTAAAATATTGTCGGAACTTTCGCATGATACATTCGTATTTTCGGTAGTGGGAGGCTTTTGTTCACAAGGCTATTATTGAACAGTGATGTCTCTTTGACAAATTTAAATTTTTGTCAACGGATTACTGCTCGTAACTGCAGTTGTTTTATCTTACGCATTTGGGAAGATAAAGCTTCCTCATTGTCTTGAATGTCTTTGCCAGGTCATTAACTTTCACTTGTGATGGATATAATAATCATAAAAGCTGTTTATCTATCGGCTTCAGACCGTTTCGGGATCCGTCATGCAGTTTTGTGATTCATCGTATCATTTAGTCAGAATACTTATCCCATCACACTGACTCATTTTATTTAGCATTTGAATACCTTCGCTAACACAGGTGTGTGCTTTCGTTCTTTTTTCAATGACATAATACCGTATAAAAGCGGTGTCTGAGTATCTGTTGGCCAGCAGAATCTGAAGTGAGCAACGTGCATGTTTTTCTCACGAACGAGTAAAGTGTCACACCCTGCACTGCACGTAATCATCATAATATACACCATTGCGGCTGCACCTTTAGGACTGAACGCCATGAAAATTGAAGATCAACAGATCGGACTTGATTTATCGTCTCTAAAGGAGCCCTAAACTAACGGTGTGCCGCAGTTCATACCAGCAAAAAATGAAAAAAACGACACTGAACGCACCTGAAATCCACATAGAAAATCAAAATATATCTGTACGTTATCATTTCTAACGTATGCTAATGTTTATCTGCACCAGAAATCTAATTTGCAAGTCAATTTTAAAATAGTTTTTTGGTGCCGATTTGCCTCGCGTCTGACTCCCCGACTGATCACTTTTAACTTTGACGAAATCTTAAACGATCAAGGAGGCAAACAACAACAACAAGGAATACTTAGATTCCTTGAATACCTTCAAAATACTGTACGCTAGCCAAAAATCACTGTTTTGATATTACAAAAACTGTTTGGATACGAGATTACGAGTGTAAAAGGAAATTTGCAAATTGCAACCAATTATTAGTAAAATTCACACAAACACGGAATCCCCGTCGGGAATCCCGTGTTTCTGTAGTTTTTCCGTTTCATTTTTTCCAACAGCAAAGAAGCCGATAATGCTAATGTACGAGGACATTTGGGTGCTGTGAACATACCCTTCACGATTAGGGTGCGATGAACACCCGGGAACTAACTTTACAGAAAATTTTATTTCGACAAAAATGTTATATCCAAGTATTTTCACCGTCTGTTTCGACAAATTACGGTCCACAAAAAATTATCGTATCTTCAAACCACATTTTAAAAGATCATAGTGCTTCACAATTTTAAGTCACAGAACAGAAATTCCCTCGTGAGATGAATTGACTGCTGCGTCCATAGCAGCATTATAACAAGCTCTGGCGACTAGATCCATACTCGTAGCTGATATTTGTGGAGAGTTGGATTTAGTACACGTAGCAAATCAGGATAATTAGTAAAAAAAAGAAAAACAAACATCACTACAACATATCTAAAACAACAAGATACTGGAAATAAACAAATATGTGCGAGTACTCGTACTTGTACTGGATGCTGTGCGTTTTAAACTTGGAATTAATTTTAAAATTCCGCGTAATGCCAGTAGCGTTGCGAGCTGCAGAGCAGTCGGGTGTTCATTGCACCCTAATCGTGAACGGTATGTTCACAGCACCCAAATGTCCTCGTATTCACTATTTTTAACGGCCGATCAACTGCGAAAAATATCCGACATAATTTTTTTGCCAGAAATATAAGTGTAATGGTTATGACTATACGCGTGTCTACGCATAGTACTTACATATTTCTGTATACCCAGCCGTCTATCTGTCAAGTTGATTAACCATTTCAAGGTGAAGCTTGTAACTAACAAGTGTTGATTATCGTTTATGTGTGCAGAACAAATTAAACAACAAGCGATTGTCTTACAGATAGTGCTAAAAATCGACTTCCCTGTTGTCCACTTGTCCTTTATTAGAGCCACAACTATCAAGCGTCCCATTACTTTTGTTATCTAGGCCATTTATCTAGTTTTTAAATTTTATATTTTTGGATCCATAAATTATTTTTTCGTAACTTAAAACTAATTACCGATAAATTTGCCGAAATAAATACTCAAAATGCAAACCGAAGGGAGCGGCCGATTTTACAACAGCTCTAAAATAACGTTCATCGGGGTTCTTGAAAAAAATGTGTCCGGCAAATCCAGATTTAGCGATTACATGAGCAGTCTTCCATGACCTGTACTCGTACGAGTACATAGTCTGGTCAGCTGTTATGCTGCCGCCAGTGTCTAACGACTAAGGCCAGTGGTGTATAAAAGTCTCATGCAAGTGTGAGCGCAGGCGTACATGCGTACACCCTCGCTTTGGCAGTCTGTTGTGTTTTGTTGCACGCCCGCCTACGTGTGGCGAAAGCATGGTGTTCTGCGCGCACCCGCATCATGTGGCGGCTACGTGCGCATTTTTCACGCTTGCTGCAGTCAGCAATGCGGAGTTGTCCACGAGGAAATTCTATCGAATTTAGTCTGGTCTAAAAAGTTCTAGCAATCACGCCGTTTCTCGCTTTCCATAGCGTAGGCGCTGTATAGCATTGCCAGATCTGTTTGGCAGGCAGAATTCCGTCAATTCTGTTCCTGCGCGTGAACCTTCATCAGGTCTACGCTCATATGGTAGCAAGAGTCGTGTTTCTCCAGGATAATCTGTGAGTTTTCCCGTCCATCTGACGAGGTGTGGAAGACGTTTCCGCGAGAAAGGGCTCGCGTACGGTTTGGTGGCGAAGGAGCGTTTGGATCCAGTCAGCAGACTTGAAAACGGTGCATCTCTACTGCGTAGAGTGCACTGTATCAGTCTGACGCGACCAAGGTTACTGCCGTAGCTTTGGTTGGAGGCACAAGCGCCGAGAAAGATCGCCACAAGAGGCAGAAGCCCGAAGGGGGCACGTGGGCAAGCCACTTTTGGACTGCGGGTGTGGAGTTCAGGTTCGTCTCTACTGCGTAGAGCGAACACATCATACGCGCTCCCCAAAAGGGTGGTCGAGCGCCCCTGTCGTCGCCAACGTCAAGGCACGACAGAAGACCCGCAGCCAGCAAGTCTTTTGGTCGACGCACCGCTGCGTCCTGCTGACACGAAGCAGAAGGGGTTATCGGCTGGCCCAGGAGAAGTCAGCTTAATCGCTGGAGGATTGGAGGATTCGCGGAAGGACGCGTTGGATCGATTCTGGATTCTGGAAATCGATAAAGGTCAGATTTCCGTTATTAATTTTAGAATTGGCTGATAAGTAGAATTTTCAATTTTTATTGGTCGGTTCTGAGCTGAGCAGAAAAGTAGGCAGTACTTTTGCGCACGGCGCGCTAGTGAAAATTTTCGATTTTGGTCGTGAGGTCACTCTGCCTTATAAACTGAAAAACAACTTACCTGATTGGTCGATTATTCGCACTGTGATTGGCGCAGCAGCGTAGCTAAAGTTAGCTAAGAAATCAGCCAACTAGAAGCTGAGATTTCGTAAGGAGGCGGAGTTTTTGCGCACGGCACTCAAGATTGTGACGTAGCTAGCTAAGAAAATTTTCTGAACCAACCGATGAGAAGTTGACCTTTACCGAAAAATTGACGAGATTGATGACCTTTAATATAAGTGCCTAAGCTGAAGAAATAACGTTTGTTCTGAGGAAATCTAAGTTGATTTCTTAAATAAAATCCAAAAATATTCTCAGGTTAGACGTTTCTGACTAAAGTTGTCAGTGACCTTTATAAGGAAAAAGTTCTGAAAGAAAAAGTGACCTTTAACGCGACGGAGTAAGCTTTCAAGCCGAAACAGTGGAAAAATAAGCTAGATTTTGCAATAAGGAGTGACCTTTAAAAAGGGACTTAGTCAAATTTTTTCAAAGAAAAAGTGACCTCTAGGAAAGACTTAGCTCCTTTTGAGGCAGAGTGACCTTTAGCAAAGCTGAGCTGATAAAAGCGAAGGTGACCTTTAGGACAGCGCTTGTTTCTGTTTACGTGAAAAGGGCTTACGTAGCTAAAACTAACACACGTGTCAGAAACATTATTAGCATCGTCCAAGTTATCCGATCATCAATAAACCCAAAGACATGGATCAAGATACAGACGGTAATGAACCGGTCTCAGCGGGTAGTCAGAGAACGGTCAGAAAACCCTTACGAGCGGAAATTAAAGCCGTTCACACGTCCAGTGGAACATGAAAGAGCAACTCGAGCTCAGAAGACCTTTGGGAGGAAGGACACCAAAGGTTCAGAAGCCACATACCAAAAGGCTCTGAAGGAAACCTTGAACAAAGAGAGCTCGAGTGACGGAAGTCAAAACTCTGGACGGCACGCCGACGACGGCACGGTAGACCAGTCAAAGGTCACCGAAGAGAAAACGGCTACGGATGGACAGAATAAAGATGACTTGAAGGCCGAGACCGGAGGAATGGCACGGTCGGCCGAAGTGGTCAAAGAGGAAAACGCGGATTTAGTTGAGAAGGGAAACGACGAAGTCAGTCAAAAGGTCACCGAAGGGGGTGATGCCGTCAACAGCAATCAGCTGTCAGACGAGAAAAAGGTCGACCAGGACGACCTTTCGGATAACTCATTGTTTTCGAAAGAGTTGCTGGATGAGAATGGTACCAGCCCTATGTCAAATGATAAGTTCTACACCGACGACGAAGATGAGACGACGGTACAGATGTCATTCCACACTGCAATGAAGCAAGCTGACTTGGCAGGTGGAATAATAAAAATGACCTCCAAAGAAAAACTGGAAGAGACCTTCGAGGGAACGGCGTCAGGAAGGGCTGACAATGGAAGGTCACCAACACCTCCCACATCGAACGAAGCAAAACAGCGGATCAGAGATCTAGAAAAGCTTCTCGATGAAAAGGAAGAGCAAGCATTTGCTGCCGTACGAGAACAACGAAACAAAACTATTGAAGTTGAAGCAAGAGTATTCCAATTGGAACAGGAAAAGGTCACGCTGGAAGAAGAAGCAACACAATGGAAGATCAAATACGTTGCCCAGAAACAAGCTGCGGAAGAGCTGAAGAAAATGGTAGACGATAAGGATATGGAAGGAATCCTCGCAGCAGAGGACCTCAACAACAGTTTCTCCGAAGAATCAGCCGAAAGGTCACGGAGATAGCAGAACTGAAAATGAGCGTGACCTTTGCAGTCAAAGGTCAAAGAGGCCGAGAAAAGCGTGACGAAAGTTTAGCAAATGCGACAAAGTTCACCGTAAAGATATCCAGTCTGATAGCAGACATCACAAAATTAAAGGATGACCTTAAATTGCGAGAAGAGAGCATTAAGACGCTGCAGACGGAACTACAAGAAAGGAAGAGGAAACAAAGTGAAGCAGAGAGCCAGAGAGATCAAGCCGCACAGAAGCTTCTCGAGCTGGCAGGGACGACAAAAACGAAAGCAAAGACTGAACGACGAAATCGAAAGTCAAAAGAAAGAAGTAAAGAAGTGGTCAACCTCGGCACAACAGAGTGACGAACGGGTCACTGTGCTAGAGACTCAGAATAGAGAAGGGCAATTGAAAATTGAAAACCAAAAGAGGAAATCACTAAACTAAGCAATGAATTGGTAGGAATGGCCACCACAATAATGGAAAAGGATGATAAAATTAATGAGCTGGAAGCCCAATTGAAGACAGTCGAAGAGGAATGCGGAACGAGAGGAAGGACCCTCATATCTCGGGCGGACCAAATCACTCGACTGCAAGCAGAAGCGGAAATTCTGAAGGAAGCAAAGAAGGACCTCGATAAGACCCTCGATCAAAGGGCAAGCACAATTATCGAGCAGATGAAAAAGGTCACCGAAGCAAACGAGAGTTACGAGAAGCTAAGAAAGGATGCAAATGATTTGGTCAAGGAATACCGACAGATAGACTCGTTGAACAAAACGCTCCAAGAGGAAATCAAAGCGCTTAAAAACTCAGCAAAAGCAAAAGAAGAGGAAACAACTAAACAGCACTTAAAGGAGCCGAAACGGATAGAGTCTCCGCCCCCTGGATACGGTGAAGTCCACACGGTCGAAGGCAGCTTCCATTTCGAAGCACCCAAAAAGACTGGAATGGGCAGAACTGACGACCACGATAAAGAAAAGGTCAAAAAGGAAGACACCGAGTCGGCGAAGGTGCACTCGGGACCGAGCGGCGGGAGTAACTCAAAACAGCAAAAAAATACGCACGATGATATGCCAGAGGAAACCATCGTCTATAAATCCGACTACCGCCTAGATGATCGGGAAGACCCACGAGATCGCCAAAACGAGCAGGAAAGGGTAGCTCGTGAAGAAGAGAGGCGAGAAAGAGAACACCGCGCGGAATACCACGCTGAAGCACAGCGACTCCGTCGCGAAGAAAGGGAATTCAGAGGGATCATGAGAGCCATGTCCCGGAAATCCGCACTGATTGACTTCAATGGCAACCGAGAAGCCTTACTCGGTTGGATCCGTCAGGTCAAGGAGACTCAGAAGACGTATGACCTTTCTGATGCAGCAATGATGCTGGAAGTCGCCAACGCAGTCAAAGGGGACGCTAAGGCTTGGTTTGATGCGGAAAGAGAAATCGACGATGAGGAAGAGGCAGACGAACTAACCGTCGATGAATGGATGACGAAGTTCAAAGAACATTTTGGCGATCGTGACGAAGGGGTCAACGCCTTAAGGGAAGCTATGACAAGAAAGTTTGAGACCGGCAAGGAAACGCTTGATCAATTTTATCAAGCGATCATGCGCTTCAAATCGAAACGGGTCATCACAGAAAAGCAGGCCATCGGATTCCTCATCCAAGGATGTAAAACGACAGTGACCTTTATAAGGCACTTCGAGCACAAAAATTCCATAACCCCATGGACATCAAGGAATTCTTCCGCACATGGTCGACCGGAGAAGAAAAGTATAAGGTCACGAGAGGCAACCAAGATGACTGCGTTATAATTCGATCAGGTCAGATCGAAGAAGTCGCGAATGGGCGACAAAACCAGTCATGCCCGGCGCCGGTGCCAGGATACAATATGGAATTCCGCCTCTAGGCACTCAAGAAGTGACCTTTGGCAACGGTCGAAATGAAGGTCAAGTATCGTACGCGACGATCGCGGCGATACAAACAGCTGTTCAAGAAGTAGCCAAGCCTGCGATCGCGGCGATCCAAGCATCAGCCCAGCAAGCGGCAAGGCCGAAACAGAATCCACAAGGAAACGTGCAAGAAACGCCCTGAATGGAGGGCTTGGCGGTCAAGGAATGGCTCAGGTAAATCCAGGCTTCGCTGGCCAGGGATTTAATGGTGGCGGAAGAAACCAGGGAAACCTTCCGACCGAACCGAGGACAGGGAAATCAAGGACCACGATACGGGTCGCGAATGGAGCGCCTGTTCACCATGATTGACGGATGGGTAATGAATAATGCGCTGACATGCCAGAATTGCATGTACGGCAATCACTATACGCAAGCGTGCTCATTCGCGGGCGTACCATGGAATAAAACCCAAATCGAGTTGTATATGAAGAATGGTTGATGTTGCGTAATAATCATGGTGGATGGCGCAACGCGATGGCAAACGGATATGTGCCACAGTCACGACAAGGTGGACAGTATGCTGGCCAAGGTGGTCAAGGAACGTCGGTGGTCAAGGCGGCCAAGGAATTTTGCCGGTCAAGGTGGCCAGGGCAATTTGGAAACCAAGGTGGCGGCCAGGGCAACTTCGCCGGTCAAGGTGGCCAAGGCGGAGGATACGGTCAGAACGGCCCAGCTCGAGGAGGCTTCAGAGGAAGGGGCAGAGGCTTAGGCCGCGGAGGTAACCGTGGTTACGGCTTTGCCGGCCCGGGCCAAGGAGGCGGTAACGGAAACTTTGGTGGTCAAGGTGGCCAGAATTTCGGAGGCCAAGGTGGCCAGGATTACGGCGGAGGCCAAGGAAACTTTGGCGGCCAAGGTGGCCAATGGAATGGTGCAGGCCAAGGAAACTTTGGCGGTCAAGGTGGCCAATGGAATGGCGGTGGTCAAGGTGGCTACCAGCAGCAAGGAGGTTTCGGCGGGCAGCAAGGCGGCTTTGCCGGTGGAGGCCAGAATGGTTTTGGTCAGCAAGGCGGAGGATTTAACTTCGCCCCGGCGAATGGTGCCGGTCAGGCGCAAGGTGCGCCGGTTCAGGGAATGGCCCAGGGAAACGTTCAAGGTCAGTAGGCGCCGGTGAGCCTACTGATCGTCCGGAACCGAAACCACCGGATATAGAAGAGCAAGGTGCTCCGCTGCAGGCAACGACCGCAGCGCGAAAGGGATGCTGCGAAAGTAACGCAAAGATACGGAAAAGAAATCCGAAAGTTCGAGAAAGTAACTCGAAATCGAGCGAAGGGGCTCAGAAAGGTGATGGCAAGGCTATCAAAAGATTACCGCAAGGACGGAAGAATTTGACCGAAAGGTCACCGCAGAAAATAACTGCGGGGAAGTCAAGAAAGTAACTTGACTCAGCCGGGGCCGACCGAAAGGTCACCGCAGAAAGTAACTGCGGGGAACAGGGTTGACGGAAGGGCCTCAAACTCTGCATCCGGGACAGCAGAAAGTAACTGCAAATCAAAGAAAGTCACGAAAGTAACGTGACGCTGCAAGGACAACAGACCCAAAGGTCACCGCAGAAAGTAACTGCGAGCAAAGGTCACGAAAGTAACGTGACGCTGCAAGGACAGCAGACCCAAAGATCACCGCGGAAAGCAACCGCGAGGAAGAGTAAACTACTCTGCGAAAGACGCAAGCGGAAATCTCAAGTGAAGAGGATGATGAAACACATCACGCGAGATTCCGAAAGTTCGTCGAAAATACGTTTGAATTTGACGGAATGACCGTAACCGTACAACGAACGCATGAAGGCGGTCCGGATAGACCGAAATTCCTTGAGCAGATGGCAAAGTATTTCAAGCAAGAGCTGCCGAGGAAGATCACGGAAGAGCCGTGACTGCGCAAGAGCGCAAGAGACCGAAAGGTCACCTCAAGCGAGTTGAAGAAGTGAAAGGTCACGAGAGATTGCCAGTGCAACAGACTCAAGAGTCACTGAAAGAGAAAGGTCACGGTGAAGTCGCCGATGAACCGAAAGGTCAAGAAAGTAACTTGACTCTGCGAATGGCGCAGCAAACAGTGAAACAGAGCGAAGGGGCACAGCAAGTCTCAGATGACTCTCTCGATGAGGCAAACACTCTACAACAGAAGATGGAGTGGCAAAAAGTCGCTTACAGACCTAATGGACGACACGGTATGTGGAAACCAGTCCCTCCGCCACAAAGGTCACCGCAAGATGTGAGAATTCCCAGAGAAGCTTACTGGGAAGAAAGAGAGAAACAAGATTGGCGGATGAGAAAGCATCTCGAGGAAATGGTAAAGCTTCACAACCGAAAGTTCAAGAGTACTGGAAGAAAGAACCAATGTGACGAAAATAACCGTCAGTTTCGAGAGCGGATTGAGAAGGGTGAATTACCGCCTCAGTATGGTGAGAAAGTGCCTTTACAAAGGTCAACAAAATGGCGGATTTTTCATGTCAAGACCGGAAAGGTCACCGGACTTAGCGCAAACTCCGCAGAGGAGAAGTCGTATGACATGACAGAAGCAATCCGGAATGACAACGAAAGGTCACCGCCAAGAACCGACGGATTGTCATCTCAAATCGATCAACTCGCACGAATAACGAAATTGCGAAGAAAATTACAGATTGGATGAAAACGACCATAAGATGGTTGTGTACGAAAGGTCACCAGAGAAGAAGAGTGAAGATGACGAGATGACCTTTGCGGATGAAATTACGCAAGAGATAATGGCAAAGTTGCAAAGCCGTCAAGACGTGCGCAATGAAAATCACAATACGAAGTTATTGCGCAAGTGATAAAAGGTCACGAGAACGCACAAGAGAAGGGTTTAACGTGCGAAGTGGCAAAGGTCACGGGTAGAAAACGCTGCGAAGGAGCAAGCGAATATCTTACCGAAGTCAAAGGATCGAAAAGTTCTCAGATGTGACCCGACGTACCGAAACGGATAGATCGTTGGAGCTCAAAGGTCTGATAGAGAGCAAGCATGCACCAATCCCAGTCAAGTGTAGAATAAGAGTCTTGAAACTCGAAGATGGAAACTTACCGAAACGGATTGAAGCTTATACACATGAAGTCAAATTGGGAATAAAAGGTCATGGCAATGCTTGACACTGGCGCGGAGACGTCTTTGATTTGTCAACAGTTCTGCGGAGAACGGCCTCAGACTGTCAGACTTCCACCGAAAAAGAGGTGATGATCAAAGGGATCAGTGGAACGTCAGGCTGAAGTAACGCACTACTGCGTAGTACAGTGACCTTAAGAAGGAAAACCAGTCAACACTCGATTCTACGTCAGACCAGCGTCAGACGATGTCCAAGTCCTACTGGGATTCGACTTCCTTGCAAAGAAATTCGTCCTGATAGACGAGGCACGACGAGGAAGAAGAGAAACTGAAGCTGAAGACGATGAGCCAAAATCCTGCAAAAGTCAATGCAGGAAGGTCCCGAACTTCAACCAAGAAATAATTCAGGGCAAACAGCTATCCCAGTACCAGAGGCACGGGGATCGAAAGATAATAAACAAAACGAGAATGGTGAAAATCTAATCCCAGTACCAGGGCGGGGATTGAAAATGCCTGGAAAAAGCAAAGGTCACCGAAGTCTAAAGCAAATCAAGGTCACCAACGATGAAACAACTCAAGATTATGCAAGCAGAAGCACTATTGCAAAGAAACAGTCGCTAGTGCCAGGAATGGAGTGGTCAAGGCTACTCCCAGTACCAGAGGCACTGGGCACGAGAATGGTTGGGCCCAGGACAGAGCCAGGACTGATGATCGGCGACGAAGAGCTATTCTCGGAAATACGAGATCAAGCCATAAAGCAACTGGATGCAAGGAAAACGGACATGGTGCTCAGCACACTTTCGAACCACGTGATAAAGCAAGAGGGCGGATGAAAGGTCGAGACACGCGCCTGCGCAAAGAGGTAGCAGAGAGTAGTCGTCGTCTTACTTCCGAACCACGCTCTGCAGATGAAGAAATCGAAGTCATCGAAATATCCTGTTCGATTACGCCGTCGATGAACAGCGTAATCGAAATCGAAAAAGATGACAATGAACAGATACCGATTCCGGAGAAACGGATAAGCGAGTTATCGTCCGTCCCGAACCAGACAACGGATGCCGGAAGGAACAATCGCGTCATTTCCGCAAACCAAGAGAATGGACGGCGGAAGAGAGCAACCTCTTGCCATCACGATTGGCACGACAGCGATGACCTTTCGATAGCGCGACCTCAAGAAAGATGTGCAAAATGCATGCAAGAAATGACACAAGATGACCTTTCGGAATGGCCGAAATGCAATGCAGCAATTGCGCGCCTTAAAGACAAGAAGAAATAGAGGTCAAGTCGATTATGAGAACACTTCCCATGCGGAACTGTCAAAAACAACTTACCTTTGGCAATGTTATCGAGAATGGTTATCGGTAGTCAAGAACTACATCATCTCCAGAGAAGTGGCTCCATCATTGGCAGCAAGAAGCGGACAACTTCATTCCGAAAGGCGGATAAAGCGACCCGTGGTATACAAACCCGATTACAAAGCTCGACAGAGAAAGGCGACGAGCAATGGAAGACGAAATAGGAACAAGCTAGGGTTGACTTATTCTGGGAATTCAGAGTCAATTACCTATGGAAAGGTCAAGGACGAGCGATCATTTTCCCAATCGGACTCGGCACAGTAGTGTACGAATTATTTGACCTACCAGGCCTGCCTCAAAAGGAAATTTAGAGAATGGAATAAACAATGGGGCAAAATCCTCGAAGAAGTACCGATATTCACAGGAGAAATTCCAGAATTAAAGGTCACGCGAAAAAGACGCGAACTTGGATTATTTGGCTATCCGAGAAAAAGAAGGTGACCTTTGCACCAGATCCAGATGGAGTGGGTATCGAAAGAGGCGGAGATACTTGGTGCATGTATGAGACGGTACCGAACAATGACTGGACTACAGAAGAACTGATGGCAAGT